TACAACACCTTGTCCACCCCTCCTTCTCCGATGGCCCTCGGTCTTACTCTAATGAAGATAAAGGTCCTTCATTATCCAGCTCCGTGAAGTAGAAGACCCATCTTCCGGAGTCTCTTTACGTGCTATTAATTCGGCCGTTTTGCATAAGCACAAAATTAGTTCTATCATACACGATGGTGTAAAAAATGTAGGCCGTAATAAAATCACCGTTGAGTTTTCTTCTGCTGAAGTGCCAACAACTTTCTGGTCAACCCGGTTCTTAGTTTGCAAGTTTAAAGCTATTATCCCCACTTATAACATAACCAGAATGGGGTTGGTCAGAGGTGTACCGGTGGACTGGTCAATGGACGAACTCGTAAATTCATTGGCTTCCTCCTGTGTGGTGAGGTATTAAAGTCAAGGCGACTGAACCGAAAAACAGTTACTGAGGGTGTCACCACCTGGGTGCCTACCCAATCTGTCGTCCTTACCTTCAGGGGGCAAATGCTCCCTGCCAAGGTTTACTCCTACCACACTTCCCTCCCTGTCGAAACCTACAAACTTCCTACCATACAGTGCCTGAACTGCTGCCGTTTTGGACATATCAATCGATCTGCCGATCTAAGCCCAGATGTTACAAGTGTGCTCAGCCTCAGGAAGTGTAAGTCACCTTAGAAACATCCACATGTTTACATTGCTCAGGCAAAATTTTGCTTCTGATAAGGGCTGTCCAGAATTTACTCGACAGCAATCCATAATGGTATGTCCCAGGACAACATCTCATACGTTGAAGCAGCAATTAAGTTTCCTCCTGTCCGACGTTCATATGTGAGATAACAAAAGAAATGTTTACCCCTCCTGCCTATTCTCTAAAATCTCCTCAAAAAGCCCAAACTCCTACCACTTCCTATCGCCAAACAATTTTCGCTCCCCTCGTCCCCGTCCTCTAGCAAAGGGGTACGAAGAACAGTCACCAGACTATTGTTGGTGAGTGACCCTCATCCCTCCCAAGCTCAACAATAGTTGACACCCTTCCCCTAGAGCATGTTAGAATTTATTTCTGAATTCTTCTAAGTATTGTCGCTCCATGTAGCGAAATCCCCACCGCCAACTTGCCAAAAACCTATCCCAACTTTTTAAATTATTACAAAACGGACCCAATAACCCTAATTCAATGGAATAGTAAAAGCTTACGTTCAAAAAAACATGAATTAATTTCCCTCATAAACCTCCATAAACCCACGATTGTGCCACTCGGAGACATGGCTGAGACCTGGTTCCCGATTTCGGGTGCCTGGCTTGTCCTGTCTGCGGGATGACAGGAATGATGGGTATGCGGGCAGCTGTCTTTGTACGACATTCCCTCCCATTCTCCCAAATCCTCTTCCTACCCACAGCGATCAGATTATGCTGTTGCTGTTCGTACTTAGACATTTCTTTTTTCTTTGTATATTCCTCACCCTTCTCCTTCTCTTCTTCCTGAGATACGATCAATTTTATCATCCCTTCCCAGCCCTATCATAGCCATGGGTGACTTTAACACCCATCACATTGTGGGGGTGCCAGCTAGTGATAGGTTTGCTCACTGCTGATTGACTTACTCGACGATTCAATCTCTGCATCCTCAATGATGGCTCTCCAACTCGCAGGGTATACCCTAATCAGAATCCCAATCTCAGTGGATCTCACCCTCTGTTCCCCTAACCTAGCCTCGCAACTACTTGGAACGCCCTTGAGTTCACCTATGGCAGTGATCATTTTCCTGTAATTATTTCATTAAATAACAAATCCTTACCCCCTCTTACCACAACCCCCTTTTAAAATATAAATCAAAAAAGCAAACTGAAAGATTATGCCCAATCCGTTGATTGCATGGTAGACACTCTGCCTGATTTGGAATGCGAAGAAAAGTCTTGTCTTGCTATGATCTTTTTTAAATTCTCTCATATCTTCGGCCGATTCCCAGATCCCCAAAAAGCACTCTCCTAAAATCAGCTGCTTTCCTCTCCCTGGTGGGATGATGAATGCAGCGATTTGTTTGGTAAGAGAATGGTTGCAGAGAAATCCTACTCAGCCAGTATTCTCAGGAGAACTTTATTAATTACCAGAAGCTTCTAAAATTAAAAGGTTGGTATCCAGGAAGAAAGATTATTGAACAATTTTGTGAATCCCTTAGCCCTCGTTCTCCATCCTCTATTGTGTGGTCTAATGTAGGAGATTCCGTCGTTCCCTGAACCATGTTAATCCTTCTTCAAATAACCCTTCTGACTGGCTAAACAACTTTGCGGATAAACTGGCTCCACCTTTCGTTCCCTATGTGGACTCATTTTTAAGTTCTACGCCAGCTCCGCTAACAATGAAATGGATGCTCCCTTTTCTTTCTCTGAGCTTCAAATCGCTCTTAATGGTCTCAAAGATTCAACTCCAGGGAAAGATGGCGTTCCATATTCCTTCCTGACTAGACTTAATGACAAAGCTAAACTTTACTATCTAAAAATAATCAACAAAAGTTTTGAAACTGGTATTATACCGACACTTGGACATCTCAGTCATTCCCATTCTCAAACCTGGAAAAAACCCTTCAGATTCAAATTTTATCGTCCCATGTTTGTCATCTACTTTAGCTAAAGTAACGGAACACCTTCTTAAAAACCGACTGGAATGGTTAATGGAAAGTAGAAATATTCTCCCCTCATCCCAATTTGGGTTCCGGAAGGGTATGAGTACCACAGACAGCCTCAGTATCCTGACAACTGACATTCGCCTAGCCTTTACAAAAGGAGAGTACCTTGTGGGTGTTTTCTTGATAATGCTCTGCATTGACAGTGTCCTACTTCCAGCGCTCAGGCAGAAACTGCTTAAGCTGAGTGTTTCTTCGAGGATGGTACATCTCATATGTAATCTGTATTTAGCAGATCTATTTTGATAAAGCACAGAATACCTCTCTTCCCCCAGACTAGTCTGGAAAGGTCTCCCAAGGCTCAGTTCTCAGCCCTCTGCTCTATAGCATTTATACCCATGACCTCGAACTGTCTGTTACCAGTTTTTGCAATATTTTACAATATGCTGATGATATTGTCCTTTATCACAGCTCAGGCAGTATAGGGGAAGTATCCTGTCGTATCAATTCTGCTTTGTATTATCTAGGCCAGTGGTTGTCTGACCATGGATTGTCCCTGTCAGTGGGCAAATCTCAGGCAGTGGTGTTTACAAGGAAGAGATACGTTCCCACTCTAGTCATTTCATTTGAAAATCAAGCAATCAATCTGACAGATAAAGCAAAATTTTTAGGTATTTATTTAGACAACCGGCTGAACGGAATTGCCCATCTGAACACATTATCAAAAATGCGAAAAAGGTATTAACGTACTAAGAGCAGTAGGGGATTTGGTGGGGCGCTCACCCCTATTCTTTAAAGTTTGTATATGCCTTAGTACGTAGTATTGGATTACTATTTTTTCTGGATCCCTTTAACAAATCAGTGTGAGAAACTAAACAAAATTCAATATAGGTAGGGCCTTAGAATCATTCTAGGTGCAATGAAATCCTCCCCCACTAATGCTTGAGGTTAGTGTGTTGATCCTCCTCTTCACATCCGCCGGCAGTATTTATGTGACCGCTTTGTTAGCAAGATGTTAAGCTATCATCCCACCCTCTTTGGCATCGATTATCCCAACTATCACATCTCCTTGTACCCGCAACTCCTCTTCCTATCTGCTAGATAGTTACTAAAGTTCACCAGCCTCCCTAACCCCCTGATATCTTTTCCAAATCTGTATTCTACTTTTATAAAGCCCTGGTATACAAACCTCCCATCATCACAGACCTTGGTCTGATCAAAGGAGCCCCAGATACCAACATCAAATTACAAAGCTATATTAATAAAAATTGGCCAAACATCTTCTTATTTACACTGACGCATCAAAGCTGTCTCCAGACGGCTGTGTTGGTGCTGTGTTGGGTTCCTCGGTATAGAATTATCCTGAAATTTAAATGTCCTCCCGAATCTTCAGTGTTCACAGGAGAGGCCACTGCTCTATTGGAAGCAATCTGTTTGCACACTCCCATAACACAGACAGCTATTTTGACAGACTCTTTTAGTGTTTAATGTCCATTAAAGAAAACCCATTTCGCAGCAAATCACGTTTTCCCATTATCTAATCAGGGAGACTCTGCTCTCTTGTAATCAGGAGCTAACTAGTTTGGATTCCTAGCCACTCAGGTATCCCTGAAACGAGACTGCTGACATGTGCCAAATCAGCTGTTGAGTCAGGTTCTCTAGATCATTTTGAAAATTCAGCACAGGATCTTTGTACTCTTGCAAAGACAATGAGAACCTGGAAGACATTTTTGAATGACTCCAAATGGTTAGGGGTAAGTTTTATGCTTCCATCCAACCAAATACCAAGACAACCCTGGTTTTGTTATTATGGAATGCAAATCGCTGGATTACATCCACATCTCACGTCTTCGTCTTGGTCAGCTTGCACCCCTGTTCATCTAGCCAGCTCCGAAGGATCACTTATCTGTGAGTGTGGCTTGATGAAGGCACTGTATCTCACATTCTATTTAATTGTCCCAAACTAACCTATCCTCTCTATGACGTTCTTCCCCGTAAAGTCCCCCGTCCTTTAATGTTAAAGTTTGTTAATTTTGTGTTTAGTCCATATTGTAGATTTTTATGTAAATATTAGAAGCAATAAAATTAAGTGAAAAAAATATATAATAGGAAACAGTATTTAAAATGTATTATTACTCACTCATATTTGTGTTGTCTGTGCCGCTTAAAACTAACAATCGAATTGCAACTATGTTTTTGTTAGGCATATTCAAAATTAACTTAATTATATTTTCTCTAACGACATCTACACGACACTGGCGAAGTACCTTGTGCCCAGTTGGCACAAATAAAAGCCATTAAAACAAAAAAAAAAAAGAGTATAGTAGACAATATTTACAAATGTTGGATAATTTTACCAAAAAACATGATTTTTGAAGATCCGAGATTATTTTCATGAAAAATGTCTTTCCCGAAAGTAGAAGGATATGTTTTTACCGAGAAGCTGGGTTCGGGCAGTTATTCAACTGTATACAAAGCTTATACAAAGGTAATCATTTTGTAAATAAACCATATTATCTACAATAAAAAAGTAATGTAATCTTATCTCATATACTTTCTGTAATGAAAAATGTACCTTCCCTATTTACGTCTAGTTTTTAAATTTAAATTCATAGATTCTTGATATCAGAGTTCTTAAAGCCACCAAGCACTATTTTTCTTTGTATGACTAGCACAGGAGAATTTCAATATGCCTACCTTGCTACCAATCCCATGTAAACTTTCTGGAAACTATATGATTAGCCAAATATGTAGTCCATATCTAATATATGTGTAGATATTAAAATCTTTAACACAACCATAGAAAGATAGAAAATGAATTGTTAGAGAGCAATCCTTAGATTTACAGTTCCCAAGTAATTGTTTTCAGATAGGTGCCCGTACAATTGTAGCTATAAAATGTATAGACAAGTCCAGTGTGAAGCATTCTGGAGTAGCGGTGGATAATCTTATCACAGAAATAAGATTAATGAAGTCCTTATCCCATCCTCACATTGTTCATATGAAAGAGTTCACTTGGGATACTAAGTAAGAATTAGAAAAATATTGTTAAAGTGGTAAATTCTGTCTTAAAATAGTGCCAATCATTTGTAAAGGAGTATTGGGAAGTCATATATTGTATATTAGTCTGTCTCACAATTTATTTTTTAACATAGAAACAGTGCAGAGTGCTAAACTAGGTTAATATGTTAAACAACACAGAGGTTGTCCATTGAGGCTACATAATTCATGAAGAACATGTGCTTTAAATAAAACTGTTTATATACTAATGGAAACCATTGTCACTGGCCTCAAAATAAAAAAAATTGATATTTCAATTAAAGCTACTTGAATATAAACAAACCTTAAATTAAAAACAAAAATTAAATTAAACTCTAAGCTTATATCTTTAATTGCAGAAACATTTATATAATAATGGAATACTGCTGTGGTGGGGATCTATCTAAATATATTCAAAGATATGGCAGAGTTCCTGAAAAACAGGTATTTAAACAAGAACTGTATTTTTCTGTACTTTATCTTCACTATGAGAAATTCGCTGCCTATCAAAGTATTAGGATGTAGTTCAAAATCAAGTCAGCGCTAAGTGTAACTTTGATTTAAACATACAGGAGTTATAGTTTGTACTTATCGAAAGGTTGGATCTTATATATTAAGATATATCTTGTCATAAATAAAATTTTTATTATTTATTATTATTATAGCATATTATTATGTATGGCGATATCACTTAACAATATGCAGTTGTAAAGATATAGCAATCTAAAAGAAACATTAGAAAACTATGTAAAAAACATAAGAAGCAAGTCAAGTTACCTTAAGGCTATGCTTTATTTTATAAAAAATATATTTATATATGTATATGCGGCTTTCAGGTTTTATATTTCCTTCAACAACTAGCATCAGCGTTGAAGTTCCTTAGAGAAAAAGGTACCATATCAATAATTGAATTAATTTTTGATTATTATTTTTGAAATACCCGATATGGTTTCAGGTGTGGCTCACATGGATCTGAAGCCACATAACTTGCTGTTACATAAGCGTTCTGATGGGAAATATTTGTTGAAAGTTGGTGATTTTGGGTAAGGTGATGTTGATATATTTATTAATCAACTAGCTGGCCTGGCGAACATCGTACCGCCTAACAGTCGATTCTTTTTTTTTTTTTTTAATACTTATTCTGCTATTCGGGACACCGGTCTAGCTAGTAAGATAAAAAAAAGAAAGTTGATAATACAACAAATACATTATGTCAAAAAAATAAAAATTTACCTTCCCGGAACCCCTCCACTAACACTTGAACTTTATGATATGGTATTAAAGTTCAAATTGCCTTTAAATATTATTACGAATATTTTGTATGGGAATATAGAAAAGTGTTGTTTTAGTTTTTCACTCAATTTTTTTTAATTTTTCTCTCCATAAGAACCAATCCTCGTACTTCAAGGAATATTTCAATTTTCATGTTATGTCGTGACAACGGAAAACGGGTTTTATTTTTATATATATAATCAATAATGCTATATTGGGATTTTTTATATGTATTCCGTGAAATGATATAAAAAAATTGCATTTAAATTCCAGTGTACTAACGCGCAACCGTTTAGTTAGAGCAGTGTTTCCCAACGAAATGGGCCCGCCCCACAGGGGACTATTCAAAATTATTTTTTTATTTTTTTTAATGTGAATTTCAGTTAGTCATTATTTTTGAAAATTTAGTTTCGGCAACAATTTCCTAGTGATTTCTAAAACCTATCATTTAATTTTCTTAAGTGAACAATTCAATTTCTTAATATTAAAAATTATATAAGTTACAAAGGGGGGTAACACTTTTTTTTTAATAGAAAAGGGGGCAAACGGGTACTCGGAAATTCACCTGATGTTAAGTGATACCGCCGCCCATGGACACTCAATGCCAGAGGGCTCGCGAGTGCGTTGCCGGCCTTTTAATAATTGTAACGCTCTCTTCTTGAAAGACCCTAAGTCGAATTGGTTCAGAAATACTACAGCGGGCAGCTGGTTCCACATAGTGGTGGTGCGCGGCAAAAACTGCCTTAATGCTCCGTTGTGGAAGAACTTGGTTAGATACTCCCACTCCTACGCTATTAGGCCAACATTGTTCTTTTATAATATATACAAGAATAATGGTGGATAGATGGCGCTTTTATTAACATATTATATTACACTACTATTAAATGATCCTAATCCTTGGGTTTGATTTGCTCCAGTTCAAACAATTTATGACTCAAAATAGTTGATTAAAAAGAGTGGCGGAGAGTTTTTTGCCAGTTCTTCTCGCCCGCTCTACGCCTTTATGAACTGGTAGTAAATGTAAATTTAGAATCAATTTAACAGTGTATTTGTTTTTTATATGAATAATGTTATTTATTTATAATTTATATTAATTATTACAGTTTTGCTCAACACCTAACTTCAGAGCGCATGCGCTGTATTCGCGGTTCACCCTTGTACATGGCCCCTGAGATGATAGCGGGAGAATATGACGCAAGAGTCGATTTATGGAGTACTGGTAAGTAGGAATGAAAAGTACATTTGAATTTCCTATTATAAGAATAGTGTTTAATATTATATTGAAGTTATTTTAACTATACACGACGTGAGACTGATCGTAAATTAAATTAAAATGATTCATGTGCACTTTTTATTATTATTAGTATAATTTGGTTTTTTTTTAATGTATCCTTTATTAGTTTAGTTTGCTTTTTTTTTTGTTCCTGTTTAGTTTCTTTTTCTTCACAAGTATAGGTAAAACATGTATTTTTGCACTTGCACTTTTTGCCTACCTCATGTAATTTAATACATTTTCTTTTTTTTCTTTTCTCACAGTGGTTGCCTGGAAGAGATCGCTTGAAAGCGATAAGGCCGCCAGTTGCCTTTCCTTTACTTGTAATTTTGTTAAATTTTTATATCATTAAGCAATAAAGTGTAAATAAATAAATTAATAAATAAATATACAGTGTAAACTCTTTATAACGTCACAAAAGAGTTAATTTGTTTGGTTTAACACAAAACCTATACTCACTCTTTATAACGCAACAGTCACTCTCTTTTACGAAGAAATATTTTCATATTTAGACATAAACAACACTTAAGTGTAATTGTTTTTATAATCAGCTTACAAAACTAACCTTTTGAGGTGCCGAAATTTCTAAGAAGTGTTTTTCTTTTTCTTTGTCTGTGGTCATAAACAGCTATCTCGCCTTTGTTATTTTTAATTTCATTAACACGTGTGCCATTATTCTTAGATTACATTGCGTGGAGGAAATTTTGGTCTCAGTTACTAAACGCACCATCGTCACCTATATATATTTATATATATATATATAAATTATTGTAATTGGTTAAATTTGGTTCTTTTCTTTTCGCTCCCTATAGCAAAAACTTTCTATAACGAAAAAATGCTCAGTCCCTTGAAATTCGTTACAAAGCATTTTTTTAGTTATCACTGTATTTGTATTTAAGGTGTGATCATGTATGAATGTTTGTTTGGTCGCGCGCCCTACGCGTCGAATACTCTGCAGGAGCTTATGAAAAAAATACAAAGAAAGGATCCCATACAGGTAATGATACTACTATATTATGCTTTTGCACAAAATTTTATTATTTAAACTGCTAACTCTTACTAAATTTTGAAGTTATACTTCTTATGGCGTGTTAGGGGAAAATGATGATGATAACTTCTAACGCGTGTACATAAGTACACACACACATGTATTTTTCTACTAAGTATTCTTATTATTACATTCTTTTTTGCGACTGAGGAGCAACCTTACTGCTGTGGAACATTCTGCTCCTCAGCATAATGCTGATCCAGGGCCAATTAAGACCACAGAATACACGCACTTAAAACGTACCTTCTTCGTTTAAAAGAAAAAAAATTGTTATTAATTATCTCTCATTCTTTTTTATTTTTGTTATTTTATGTGTGAGTTTTGTTAGTAATAAGTGTTATATCTATGTCTATATTTTATTTGCGTTGTTTTCTTTGACTGTAGTGCTACAACCCTACATGACCCTTGACTTAATTTAGCATCTGTTTCTATTTTGTCTTGATAAATAAAAAAAAGGCCGGCAACGCACTCAACTTACGGGTAGTAATATACTGCGTCTTAGGAAAAGTTAGCTCCAAAAAAAGTTTTTTTTTTAAATATAACAGGGGACAAACAGACAGGACCCTCACCTGCTCTATTTACGCTGTGATGAGAAGAGATAGAGTTCTTTGGTTCATCATCATATTTTTGTATACAATTTAGTTACTGAATCGTTGTGACATTTCAGATTCCACCGAATTCCTCAATATCTCCCGGTTGTTGTGATCTCTTAATTCGTTTGTTACAACACGACCCGAACAGACGTATTTCGTATGAAGAGTTCTTTAATCATGAGTACTTGGACCTGGAGCACATGCCCAGCAAAGAGAATTATGATAAGGTGGGTGGTGAACTAAACTAACCTAATGTACGGACACACCACACTATTTAAACTATTTAATTATTATTATTACACTGGGACACTGAACAACACTGACCATCACTGAATAACACTGAACATCACTGAACAACACTGAACATCACTGAACAACACTGAAAAACACTGAACATCACTGGACAACATTGAACGTCAATGGACAACATTGAACGTCACTGAACATCACTGGACATCACTGGACAACATTGAACATCACTGGACAACATTGAACGTCACTGAACATCACTGAACAACACTGAAAAACACTGAACATCACTGGACAACATTGAACGTCACTGAACATCACTGAACAACACTGAAAAACACTGAACATCACTGGACAACATTAAACATCACTGGACAACATTGAACGTCACTGACAATCACTGAACAACACTGAACATCACTGAACAACACTGAACATCACTGAACAACACTGAACATCACTGAACATCACTGAACAACACTTAACATCACTGAACAACACTGAACATCACTGGACAACATTAAACATCACTGGACAACATTGAACGTCACTGAACATCACTGAACAACACTGAACATCACTGAACAACACTGAACATCACTGAACAACACTGAACATCACTGAACAACACTGGACAACACTGAACCAAGTACACTCATGAACGTCAACAGAAGAGATGTTAAATTGATTCTAAATTTACATTTACTAATTCGAAAGTCAAGGGCCTAGAGCGGGCAAGAAGATCAATCAATCCCAATGATTAGGATTTAAATATTTGTCAAATTTAAAAAAAAAGCTTTATTGATTAATTTACGTTTAACGAGAGCTTTGAATTTATTCAATGATAATTCTCTAATTTCACTTGGGAGTTTGTTGTAAAAACGAATACAATTTCCATATAAGGAGTGGTTTATCTTTTGAACCCTGGTTGATCGTACACTCAAATTAGTTCTATTTCGCGTATTATACTGGTGAAAGTCACCATTTTAAAATCATTTATATATTTTGTACACACAAAATAAAAATACATCGTTGGGAAGTAATACCGGAATTTCTTCAGGCAGTGTGCCTGATAAAGCAAGCCATTGAGTTGGACTGCGCTGGATCGTTGGAGCCAGCGCTGCGCTGCTACAGCGAGGGGCTCCAGTACTTGGTTCCAGTCGTGCACGTGGAGACGGACACTATGAGACGCACTGCCCTCACTGCTAAACTCACCAGGTAATAAATGAAATAGGAGATAGTATAAAAGCGCTTTATTTTGACGTGATAACGTCTTTAAAATCGTTTTAGTCGAGTGACATGTTCAGAAACTTGTGTCACACCAAAACCTCACGAGCGCGATCGCAGGTATAACGAGAGAGAGACGGACCGATCTCCCGTCTCTCTCACTCTAGCGGCATACAAACGAATGGAGATTTGTATGAATGTATGTATGAAGAAAAATGTTTATCATAGTCGAATAAGTAAACTTGTCATTTTACACTCGAAATTTATCATCAAAAGTGTGAATAAAACGATAGATGTAATTTAAAATTTGAAAAAATTGTTATCTTCATTAATTCCTTACTTCCCAAAAACTTATATCACCAATAAGACGTTATCACGTAAACATCTCGATCGTAAACCTACTTTACAAACAACCAATATTTTTTTTCATTAGAATCGGTCTTTAAGATTTGTTAGCGCCTGAATACTGCTGGAGGAAATGAGCTAGATCTGTCGAAAAGCGCTAGATTTTTGAAGTGAAACTTATTAAGGCGTATGAGGGTAAAATTTTTAAAAAATGTCACGAAGATGTGCAGCGTTTTTGTCGAAGAAAAGGGAGAGAGCGATCGAGACCGATTGAAAGAGAGTGAGAAGGGGGTGAATTACCTTATAGAAATTCTATTTAAAATTAAAATTTCGTGAAGAGGATTTATGTAATATTAGTATTTTATATGTTATGCAAAATAATTTATTGAAATCTCAAATGACGAATTTTAAATTAAAATGCCACGTGTTTTTATTATCGATGAAATAAATTAAAAAAATACATTTATAATTTGTATTAACTTTCGACATATAATATTTTAATGACAATTAAATTCCTAACATATCTTCCTTTTTCCCTCCAAGTCTCGGAAATCTTAAGTTTTATATTTGTATAAATATGAACAAGAGGTAAAAATTTGTTTGCCAAATAAGTTTCACTTTTGACGTGTACTTTGTACGCACGCACTTTATTTTTTTCATTAGAGTTGGTCTTTAAATTTTGTTAGCGTTTTAATACTGCTGGAGACAAATAACTTAATATGTCAAAATAGTTTTACATAGATTTAGTTATATTTTTAAAGTTCACTCTCAGAGTCGGGGCTTAGTCCTAATTATGACTCCTGTCAAAAACCAATACTTATTGACATACTAAATTCATTCTTAGCGCTTAAATCTCTTACAAATTCAACTTTAGATACATGGAACGCGCGGAAGAAATAATGCGATATGTCAAATCACAACAGCAAATGCCGATAGTGTCAAGGGGCGAAGCCCTACCTCCTGTGATAGGGGGAAGCTCCTGTTGCGTAGGTGCTGCGTCGGGGAATACATATGACTTTAGTAAGTGCATTTAATTGTAACAATTTTTGAAAGGCCGGCAACGCACTCGCGACCACTCTCGCATTGTGTAAATGGGTATCACTAAACATCAGATGAGTCTCTCGCATATTGGCCCCCCTTTTCTATAAAAAAAAAGGGTGTGTGTACTTATGTACGCGCGTAAGAAGTTATACTTCTTTGGCATTGTTAAAAATAGTTTTTGATTGCATGCAAATAATTAATTACAATTAAATAATCAAAGACTGGAAAAGGAGTCATTATAGTCAAAAAAGTTTAGTTTACATTTGAAAAATTAAATAAATAAATATTTATTATAATTCTCTTACATTAAGTGTAACATAAATTCTATTATTATTCGAATGTTGTTTTTAAATGATGTCCAATGCCGTAGCATCTTCCGTGGGCAACTTCATTCTGTTAATTATGTGTCACGGTGCGCGCGCATCGTAAAATCTCACTCTCATCAATTTTTCATAACGCGCCTAAAGAAGTATAACTTCAAAAACCTTTTTTTTATTTTTGCTAACACGAACCCTTCTGTACCTACCTGTAAATAGGCTTTGACGGCATTAAAAATAAAGTGTTATAAACGTGTAAATAATAATTAATTTATGAAGACAATACAAAATACCATCCGTATCACCTCGACGTCCGCCGTTCCACAACTGAGCGTTTTTTAAGGCAGTTTTTGCCGCGCACCACCAGTTTGTGGAACCAGCTACCCACTGGAGTATTTCCGAACCAATTCGACTTAGGGTTCTTCAAGAAAAGAGCCTTCTGGCAATGTGTCCATAGGTCACTTCACATCAGGTGAACCTTCAGCCCGATTGTCCCCTATTACATTTAAAAAAAAAAACTGTCGGGATTGGTCGAAACAATAATGACGTGGCATGCTTGTAAACAATATGTTTGAATGATAATAATAATACCATTGGCACTTCCTTTAAGATTTCTGTATCTGTCATCATTTCTAATTGGCAAGTTGGTGATCAGCCTTCCCCTTCCTCATGATGGTTTCCATCAGACCAGCGAGTATTAAATGAAATAGAAAGTCCATTGGTGCACAGTCAAGAACCCGTCCCCAGGGATGAGAGTCGCATCCTGAAGGCCAACTTGACGTTTGTTACTTGTTTACAAGCATGCTACGTCATTAGGTCTGGTACCTTAATTTCTACCATTTCAGATGGCGCTACAAGTTCTAACCTGGAAAATGGAGTGCAGGAGAGTGATAAATGTCTAAATGAGGTAAATTTTAAGCTATTGCATAAATTTTATCGCGGGCTTTGAGCGCGGCGACCGAATCAAGAAATTCCGTAACGAAAATAAACGTAACACACGAATATAGGTGCGGCCAATACGCGTTAGAGCGGGACAGCACGCATACAGCGTCTCACATCGGTCTGACGAGATCGATGACGTAGCGTAAACGCGGCCGGTGCGGTACGCGTTAGAGTGAGACAGACTATATAGGCGTGTTAGTCTAAGTCTGGTAGAGTAGTAGATTGAATTAATAACAAATAAAAAAAATACTGCATAAATAATTAATTATTGCATAAGTTGATAAAAATGCTATCCAATAGCTTTACCGCGGCAGTCCCCGAGTGCAACACGATTTTTTTTATTTATATCATTTTTAACAGCTACCCACCCAGTGGGTACTATTTTTTTTTTTAATTTCATCAAGTCGTAGGTTCGATGCCCGACTGTGTACCAATGGACTTTCTATGTGCTTACATTGCAAACGCAGGCTGAACCCTACGAGATTTATCAAAATAATGTACTATGTATTGTACACATAGAAAAGGTCTACAGAAAACTCCGCGATGGTATATCTCTCGTGGATGTCCCACAATAATATTTTTACTTTTTACGACAAATAATGGCTAATTTTCGAAGCGATTTTAACCAATACAGCATTAATCCTTCTCCAATAAAATACCTTAAATACATTGTTGATATTATATAGATCTATATATATATTGTTGATATTATATAAATATTCATTTAAATCATATCCTTTACAGCATATGATTTAAATGAATATTTTCGAAGATATTACAGATTTAAAAATTGCGGGACGTAGCGTTTACGGCCGGACCTGCCCATTCTCTATAGCACTTTGATAATTTAGTAACAGCATTGCACCCTTGCGAAGCCGCGGCGGATCGCTAGTATTTTATATTATATTAAATTGCAATTACATATTCGAAGTTTGTTTCAGCCGATTTCGCAAGATAAGAAAATGAAAACGGAAAAGTCTCGCTTTGCGCGATTTTTCGGTAGACCAGTGCCTTACTTGGATAGAGAGAATAGTGTAAGTTATAAACTCTTGTTATTCACATGTACATCACAAACAAAACAGTAATAGATGGAAATATTTAGAAAAACCTATTTCTTCCAGTATAGAAACTAATATTATGAAGTATATCCCTTGTCAGTTCACTCAAAGGACAATTAAAAAGAATAATTAATCATTAGGAAGAATAATTAAGTTACAATAATAAATTGTGCGAGTACTAGGTGTACACACGTAAGAAGTGAAACTTCTTTATGATCTTATTTTTCGAAAAATGATCTACTATATGCAACTTTACATAAATTCGTTAAATTAGATAAAGTTTAACAAAATTCTTTTATTATCATAGACATGAATACAAATATTTCATTTTACCTTATTACTACGAAGATTATTATAGAATTTCATTCATTGTAATAGAATTATTACTATCATTGAAAAACGTGACGATTTGCTACAAAATTGCTCCCATACGTCGATAAAGAAGTTTCATTCCAACACCGATAAAGAAGTTTGACTTCAAAAAGCAACATGGCGCGTAACCGAAAAATGTGACGCGTAACGAAAAAATTTTACACTAAATTTTTTTCCAACCTCGATAAAGAAGTTTCACTTCAAAAATGAATAAACTTAAGTAGAAGGGCACCTACTTGTATTGTTTAAAGTATATTTGCTTTCTCTTACAGACCGACGAAACTAAAAAGACAGACAAGATTGAAGACAATGCAGATATGTGCAAGATAACATAGATAACATTCGTAATTGCTACGGATCGTAATCCACAGTATCTATAAATATCTACGGCTAATTTAATCTGCAGTATAAAAACCGAATATGTGATTGCCCTGAGTCGTAGCGCAATATTTATAGCCTCTGGATAATTATTTGAATTTGGAATATAAATATAACATTGTTGAACGAACCAAAGAGTTTGATATGAAAATGTTGCTGGCCGTCAATCGACCATAAAAAATTTTTTATGTAAAAATAAAAACGCGCGAAACATTTGTTTGTTTTTGTTCAAATTCCTAATACTTAATAAAATCAAAATTACTTCTATTTTATTTATGTTACATATGCACTGGTAGATAAGAAGATAATGGTAAAAGTATTTTTAACGTTATCCCATCTATGTCTGTCAATGTCGTTCAGAAATCAATATTTTTGCCGTGACGGACACGAGATACAAAATTAAATAGTTAACAATTACTTTTCAAGAGGCCATTTCAATCACGTCTGAATCAACAACTTAATCCTTAAAAATAACTGATATGTAATCTACAGATTATTACTATCGTGCACGGCGCCAAATGCAATTCATTAAATAAGATGACTCAAATAATTAATAAACAAATTTAGATTTACTGCCAGTTCTGAAATCAAGGACGGAAAGAGCTGGTAATAAAGTTTCAGCTTGTATTTTACAGGTTTATAGTGACATCACGATAAAAATAGAAAGCGCCTCTCGCTTTTCACAGAGCACCAACTATTATAAGTGAATAGTAGTTGAATAATTTATCTGTGGATAAAAGTAGTCTGTGGCATAGAAAAAGTTCACTCTCTTCCGTTTCCTTGCTAAAAAAGATAGTAAATTATGTAATAAAACACTATTTTGACCGGATTGAAGTTATGTATTATTATAAATTTACAACTATTTAACATAATTTTAAATTTATCCGACGTTTCGCGTGCTTTACAGCGTGCGTGGTCACGGTGACAATCACGGTTCAATCCGGTCAAAATAGTGTTTTATTAAATGAATAAAAGTTATGTTAATCAAAGACAATAGTAAATTATGTGTTTAATACTAGCTTATTATAACAATAGGCCGTTCTTGAAAAAGTTATGTACGTCAAGGTGGTATCACTTCTAAGGCATTAGGCATGTATTCAAATTATCAAGGTACATTTACAGCTTGAGCATTTTTTTTTTCCCTTTCTTGGCCTGCACGGTTTGTGCGTCAGCCATCGCTTGAGCATTGTCAAATATGCTTAGAATTTTTTGACAGGTGGATTAGTTTTTTGTTTTATTTCGTGACACCAATATAAATGTTAAAAAAATATACCTATATTTTTTTAAATTTTTATAAGAGAACTAAATAATTTTTAAATAAATAATAAAACATTAGGTATTGTTTTATTTCCTTCACCATTATCTCGAGGCTCCAGTCATCCCTATGACTTATCGTTAGAAAATTGTAAATGATTTTACCACATATTATTATATTATATCAACGCGGCGCCATGGTACCTACTACCTAGTAGTAAATATCACTGCCTTGAGTAAAGGTGATTAAATTTTTAAAGGCAGGGTGTTTTTTTTTGCCTGGGACAGTTTTTAGACCATAAGTTTTGACAACAATTATTAATAACTGTTCTAACGATTATGACATGATAATAAATATGATATTTACATGCCCATTTTTATATGGCTAACTTTGGCAATTATACTTAAAATGTGAATGCTTACTATGCAAATAAACGATTTATTATTATTACCCTATCCCTCATCACTGTCAGAAAGGATTGAAATAAAAACATTTTTAAAAAATGCATTTATTTTCTGAATATTTTACCAAATATTACTTAAATTGTACTTAAAAATGAAAAGTTAGATTTGCATTTAGTAAGACACTTAAAAGCGATGTTTCTTGTAGATCCTCATGACAGCTCGCGCATCTTCAACGGAGTCGTGAGATCCGTTTTGTATGTTTATACCAAGCTCTTGATAGGCTAAAGTCTTAAGCGACTGTTTTTGGCCATATTTCTGAAAAAAAAAACATATATGTTAAAGTTAAAATAATATTTATAAGTCGTAATTTAATTGTTAAATAAATAGCACTTACTAGGAAAGGACCGTATGTCGCTACGTCCTTTACATTCGGGTAAGTTATTCCCAAAGCATCCATGTCTTTCTGAATGTCAAACCCCACAAGCACGTGCCCGTTGACATTATTCCCCAAACGATTTATAACATCACTCTTCGGTTTAGCGTCCCGTTCATAACCAGGCTGTATTCCAGATATCCAGGTCCGGTAGTCTGATACAGGATGAGTAGGTTTCACATATTCGTCCATAACTATATTTAAATCTTCGTCGACAAGGGATACTCTGGCGACCATGCTCTGGTTTAGGTTATTCTGAACCATCTCGCAGTCGATAGCGTAGTATCTGGGCATTTTGAATAAAAAATTATAGCAAATAAGAACAACTGTTATCTGCAAAATTTATGAAATTGTGACGCGTTTATGTATCGTGTCAATGCATTTATATATAACTTATTGATCATTCAGCGAACAAGCGCTGCAATAAATAGCTTCATTAATTTGTTTACACGAAGATAGGTCAAGTAAGTTATGAATATTTAATAATCCATCAATAAATACTGTTAAAAAGTAAAAATAAATACTGTTGAAAATTATACTATTTAGTGGTCCTTTCTAAAAAACAAAATCACAGATGCTTAAGCGCTTGAACTAGCGGTTATTTACGAGTTGAATTGAAAGGTGTTACCAGTGAATAAAGTTTGCAACATTTCCGCGAATATTTTTATTCCCAGAAACGTACAAAAATGTTTATTTACAATATTCCTACTTACCGTTATTTTGTGTATCATGCTCTTAATGAAATTTAAGTTTTGTATTAAATTATTTTGTTCTAACATAATTGATGTGTATGTATGTAACATTTGTAGTCACATTTACTTGTATATTTTAAGCATACTTACGTGTTTTAGGACACCATACGCAAAATATTTATGGACACTAATTTTTATTAAGCTATTGCATAGATTTTATCGCGGCCTTTGAGTTTGGCGTCCGAATCAAGAAATTCCGTAACGAAAATAAACGTAACACACGATGACGTCATATAGGTGCGGCCAATACGCGTTAGAGCGGGACAGAACGCATACTGCGTCTCACATCGGTCTGACGAGATCGGTGACGTAGCGTAAGCGCGGCCGGTGCGGTACGCGTTAGAGTGAGACAGACTATATAGGCGTGTTAGTCTGAGTCTGGTAGAGTGGTAGATTGAAATAATATCAAAGAAAAAACTTGAATCGATATCAAAGAAAAACAAATACTGCATAAATAAAAAATAAATAAATAATTATTACTGCATAAGTAATAAATAAAAATAAAAAGTCCCCGAGTGCCACAGGGTTTTTTTTTTGACTAAAGCAATGCAATGCTTGCTATCTATTATCTATTATTACTTAACTTAAAACAGTGTATATATCAGAAATTGTATATATCAGCCGAATGTATTATGAATCATGATCTCAGGTTTAAGAATAAAGATCAGGGTATCACTTGTAATTTTATAATATTTTTAGAAGGCCACAGAGTATTATTACAAGATTTCATTGTTTTCTCTTGAAAATTGGTTAAATATTTATTAATTTGATCGAAAGTACGATACAATAAAAAAAAACTCAATATAAAAACTAAAATAGTGTATTTCTTTTCTTTCTATACTGGCAACACGTGTTTCGATAGTTGTTTCACATTATGATTTCGGGGAATCCCCATACATAAACTTATCACTTACTAGATATCTTTGATGCTCAAATAATTTTGTTACATATCTCTTAAGTATATTATTAATACTTACGGATACGGATCTTAGTAAGCGTAATAGGTATATTATGTATTACATCTTTTTTTTAGCACATGAACGAAGAGACCTGGCTGGCACATGAAATATTAGACAGTGGAGAGCGGAGGATGTCAGCTCATCACTCACCAGTGCAAATTTTCCTCAGGGTGGTGCAATTAATTAAAGTTTGGCGCTGACTTAGCGTTAGAAATTTGTGTTTTCACCACAGATTATATTATATCAACACGGCTGTTTTTGTAACGCCATGGCTACAAAACTATTTAACTCACGTCTCGCCAGCGTCACGTTGCCTTCCCGCCTCGTCCGCTGTTTGACCAAACCTTTAATCACCTTCCTAGAAGTTTATAGATCACTGCCGTGTAATGCTTTCAAGAGGAAGGTGGTTAAATTTTTAAAGGCAATGTGCATTTATAGCCTGGGAGGGTATTAAGACCATAAATTTGATAATAACTGTTCTTATTATGACATCATGATAAATTATATGATATTTGCATGCCTATGTTTATATGGCTAATTGTGCGGTTATTTTGTAATTAACCAATCTGAATGCTTACTGTGCAAATAAAAGATTTATTATTATTACCCTTTCACTGTCAGAAAGATTAAAAAAGAACACGTAATTTAAAAATACATTTATTTTCTGAATATTTTACCAAATAGAATATAAATTGTACTTAAAAATAAAAAGTTAGATTCGGATTTTGTAAGACATTTAAAATCGATGTTTCTTGTAGATCTTCATAACAGCTCGCGCATCTTCAACGGAGTCGTGAGATCCGTTTTGTATGTTTATACCAAGCTCTTGATAGGCTAAAGTCTTAAGCGACTGTTTTTGGCCATTTTTCTGAAAAAAAAAACATACATGTGACGTTAAAGTTAAAATAATATTTATAAGTCGTAATTTAATTGTTAAATAAATAGTACTTACTAGAAAGGGACCGTATGTCGCTATGTCCCTTACATTCGGGTGACTTATTCCCAAAACATCCAGGTCTTTCTGAATGTCAAACCCCACAAGCACGTGCCCATGGATAATATTCCGCAAACGATTTACGACTTCACTTTTCGGTTTAGCGTCCCGTTCATATCCAGGCTGTATTCCAGATATCCAGGTCCGGTAGTCTGATATAGGGTGAGTAGGTTTCACATATTCGTCCATAACTATTCTTAAATCTTCGTCCACAAGGGATACTCTGGCGAGCATGCCCTGGTTCATGTTATTCTGAACCATCTCGCAGTCGATAGCGTAGTATCTGGGCATTTTGAATTAAAAATTATAGCAAATAAGAACAACTGTTATCTGCAAAATTTATGAAATTGTGACGCGTTTATGTATCGTGTCAATGCATTTATACTAAAGTCATTGATCATTTAGCAAACAAGCGCTGCAATAAATAGCTTCATTAAATTGTTTATATGAAGATGGGTCAAGTAAGTTATGAATATTTAATAATCCATCAATAAATACTGTTATTGCTCGGTGACGATTTTATTGAAAATTATACTATTTAGTGGTCCTTTCTAAAAAACAAAATCACAGACGCTGAAGCGCTTTAACTAACGGTTATTAACGAGTTGAATTGAAAAGTGTTACCAGTGAAGAAAGTTTGCAACATTTCCGCGAACATTTTTATTCCCAGAAACGTACAAAAATGTTTATTTACAATCTTCCTACTTACCGTTATTTTGTGTATCATGCTCTTAATGAGGTTTAAATTTCTTATTAAATTATTTTGTTCTAACATAATTGATGTGTATGTATATAACATTTGTAGTCACATTTACTTGTATATTTTAAGCATACTTGTTGTTTTAGGACACCGTACGCAAAATATTTATGGACACTAATTTTTATTTATTTATTGTTTGACTAAAGCAATGCCATGCTTGCTATCTATTATTTGAAGGCTATTTAAGCAATTACTTAAGTTAAAACAGGTATAATTTTTTTTATATAATAGCCGTAAATATTATGAATCAGGATGTCAAGTTATAGAATAAAGATCAGGGTATCTTATACCTAAATAAAAAATATAAAATATGTGTTTATTCATTTGACAATGAACAATCTTGTAATTTTATAATATTTTTAGAAGGCTAAAGCGTACTTTTTCATTGTCTTTCCTAGAAATTGGTGAAATATTTAATAATTTGATCGAAAGTACAATAAAAAACTCAATATAAAAAGCTAAAATAGTGTAATTCTTTTCTAACTATACTGGCAACACTTGTTTCCGATAGTTGTTGCTCGTTATGGTTTCGGGGAATCCCCGTTCATAAGCTTATCACTCACTACTTAGTTACTAGCTATTTTTGATGTTTAATCAAATTTGTTACATAACTATGCATATTTTTAATACTTAATTTACGATTTTAAAAAGCGAATTTATTTATTATATTTTATAAAATCTATATTATTTGTCTTAGGGATGCTGAGGTACAACAAAGTAAAAAACCAAGCAATGTGACACTAATACTAATAATAGTCACAATTCTAACAGCTGATGGCGCTGTGTTGAAAGTACCAACGTTTTAGATAAGCTACAATTTAATGGCATAACCACCAATAAAGCATGGTGGTCCCCATGACTGGTGTTCTACCGTTTCCCTTGAATAGTTTACTACTATATTTGTAATATAACAAAAACCTTAGCCACAGCAACGCTTGGCCGGTCTGCTAGTAATATATGTATATAGAATATGACAACTTATAAAGATCGAGTCATATTGTTTTATCGGAGATTAATATTTTGTGCCTACTTCATTGGCGCCTGATTATAACGTTATCATGTTATTGCAATTACAGTATTTAATAAAAAATATTGACATGAATTAAGTTCAGTGGCGTTTGTTGGAGAGACTTTCAAATGTATTTTAAATGACGTTTAAAACATGAGCTAACTAACATAAATAACAAAAATTAGAGGTAGCGGGATTGCGACGATTACAAAAGACTAACATGGCTTTTTTAAGGATTCTTAAATCTAAATGACCTTTATGGGAGACGAGAATGTTATATTTATTATTATCTATATATATAAAAAGAAAATGGTGTTCGTTTGAGAGCCTCAACACTTCTTTCACGCTTAAACTACTGATCGTATCGACATGAAACTACCACCATTCGATGCGAAATTTTTCCTAGATGGTTTATGGCTTAATTCCAACGTTCCTTCATTTTTTTATTTCTGTTTTACTTTTATGAAAATTTTTCCCGCTAATAAAAACAAAAGAGGCTTCCTAGAATCGCAAAACGTCAACATCTGTTAAAAACTCGATTTTCTAAATATTTCAATTTTCTTAGCGGGAAGTTAAAAAGAAGAATAATAAAAATATGAAAATAAAATAAAATAATGAAACATAAAATTTATTTTAATTCGTCCAGCAAAGCGGGCGCGAAACGGCTAGTTATACTATATATTAACGGTAGAGAAGTGTTGGCCTAGTGGCTTCAGCGTGCGACTGTCATCCCAGAGGTCGTAGGTTTGATCCCCGGCTGTGCACCAATGGACTTTCTTTCTATGAGCGCATTTAACATTCGCTCGAACGGTGAAGGAAAACATCGTGAGGAAACCGGCTTGCTTTAGGCCCAAAAATTCGACGGCGTGTGGCAGACACAAAATCACCTACTTGCCTATTCACCTTGCTAATTCAACTGTGGAATCGACTCCCGGCGGAATCTTCCTGGAGAGATACGACCTGCAACTATTAAAAGAGTGTACTCCTCCCTCAAAAGCCGGCAACGCACCCACTAAAAATGGGTTTCCATGTGCTGCGATGACTGCCCATTTTGGGCGTCACGTACGGTCGTTTGCCCGTCTATTATATAAAAAAACTATTTTTTACCCTCTTAAAAGGGTTTCATAATTCAAATTTGTATGTCTATTTTATTTACAATTCAACCAACGTTTGTTTTATTTACTTATAACCACATCATATAGGTATATAATGCAGTATATGTTAGAAGTTATCTATTGTATACGTGACAATAACATAAATTTTACAAAATATAATAAAATTACAGTAAAAATATTACACTTCCAATTTAAGTTTCTATTAGCAATTATTTATTTAAAAATATATATTCGCTTAAATATAAATATAATACATATATTAAATAAAATAAATGTATTTATTTTATTCGCTTAATAATGCAGACTAGGTATCATATAGATATAGACATAACATTTATGACTTACGAAACACACACATAGAACACACAAAATAATATCTAATAATAAAAAAAACAAAATATAGGAATAAGGTACATTTTAAATATGTAATGTGTGTCCGTTGTGGTTGTAACTGGCTCAGCATTATGAGTAGACTGTTCCACAGCGCCGCGCTGGTCATTCTACCAGATACCACAGCAGCTGTTTGCGCAAAGACGCAAAAAAAGAAAAATAATGTAATTATAATAATAGTAGAAAAAATTATAATAGTCAAAATTAAGAGTGTATATACAGAAGTCTTGCAAGATTTGCGTGTAAAAGTATATAGTAAATAAAAAATAATACTAATAGCACTTAACAATGCTTTTTGATCAGCCCACTACCAAATATGTCAAGCTCTGTATAGGTAGTGTTTATTCTGTTATATTCGCGAAGAATTCGATGAGAGGTGCCTGAACTCCTAGGTTGGTTTTTGCAGACGGAATTTTGAAAATCCTGCTGATTGTAAACTTGGTAACGCCAATGTTAATGTCCTGTAAGAGTTTCTGTTCCGTATTTAACCATTTAATAATTTGTAAACGAAACACCGGCTAGAGATCTCCGATCGTACAGTGACAACATAATAAATTTCTAAGTCGCTGATGGTACGGTTGCCTATGAGAAAATCCTCTACTAGCAAGGTGTCGAGTAGTGTGTTGCAAATGGATTGGTGTACTGTAATTATATGATCATAATTCAGTGTTGGCCTAGTGGCGACGCTCATCCCTGAGGTCGTAAGTTCAATCCCCGGCTGTACACTTATTTATTAAATAAAACTCTCAATGGTCGATTACTAAAATTAATTTATAAGACAAATTTCTTGGGTCAGTTGATAATGTATCACGCTGTATTATTCCTCGAAAGCAAGTACCACCTAAGACATTCTTTGTAAACTTGAAACCACTTATCAGCTTGTAAAGTACCTACATACATAGATAAGCTATACAATACGCTGCTTGACCGATACAAAGGGTAACTGTGAAGTCATCGTTTTATGCATTGTTATTCTAGTCTTTTCTCCCAGTGGGACGAATATGCTACAAGCGTGGAAAAATGATAGACGAGTCTAGAGAGTGTTCCTCTCAAGCGGCTTTCTGGTAACTAACCGAGGAGGTTTTAATGTGTATTAGAAAACACAATCAAAGTAATACACTAGCAATGTTCATAAAAAAAATATACCGAAAGTTCTAGCTATAATGGCGCCACAAATAAGCAGAAATCCTTAGTATAAATCAAGAGTCAATCATTAAAACTTCTGTCACATCTTTACAAAATAAATCGTCATCATCAGCCTCTTCATTTGGTTCATTTCTGAACGTAGACCATTTCCCTCATTGTTGGGTCTCTTTTGCTTTTGAATATTTCAGTCTTTTCTTATTTTTATAGTGTCGCGTCTTGTACATTTGCGGCGTTGCCGCACTTGCATGTTGTAGTCGTTATTCAAAGATTGGCAACCTCGCCTACGCACCTGGCCGTAGGAAAGATTTTTTAAGCGACATCTCACGGCGGTTATTCACACTACAACTGTAACAAAATTTGCTATTTTGATACAGCTTCTGACATCCATCGTCAAAATTTGTAATTACCACAAGAGTTACGGCTTTTCCTTAGTAATGTTTATCTATTTACTTTAATTGTCTTTTGTAACAGCCAATCAGTTGGCAAGTGTCTACGGCAAGAGTTTACCTCTTTGGCACTTCATAGAAGAATAAAAATTGACAGCGTACCTACCAAAATATCGCTGTCACGTGTCAAAGGGTATTTTAATATTATGGGTCAACGATTGTTAATCTAATGAAAGAATGCGAAATAAAATTGAGTCCTGTCCAGTAAGTATGTGTGTATAAAGATAGATTATATATTGGCAGTGGCATATACGGTATATGTAAGTCGTTAAATATTACGGAACTTAAAACTTATTAAGAAATCCTCATGACTGAAAACATTCATTAAACGCAAGAGACAAAATGTATCAACAATGTTGCTGAAAATTAATAATTAAGCATAATCTGTAATCAAAACTTCCCGCTGATATAAGAAATATATATAACAGTTATTTTTTGACCATAGACAAGCCTTGCAGGGATATTTTTAGAAAAAAATCTAACTTTGGTCATGAACCGAAGGAGTAAAAGTTCTAGGTCATATGTTTTTAATAATAAAAAAAATATTTTTTAGTGTTCCTGAAGAAAATACAACAAATATGATTAATTTCTGTAAGTAAAATTTCTGATTCTTAAGCCGGCTGCAGACGCTCGCGAGGCCCCTTGTCGAGGCTGCATGAGTGGTAAAATAAACCGAGGCTTAATAAACCGAGAGTGTGAAGCCGGCTTTACAGTTCAGTAGTTGAGAACAAAGTGATCAAGCGCTAGAGTGTGGTTTATTATCTCGCCTCGCCCTCTTGTGTCCTTTCACGTCTTTGACTCACGCCCCAAAAACCAACAAAAAGCGGAGAGACGGCGAAGCGACACGAGCACACCGTCCACACTCTCGTGCTTACCTACGTCTCCTCGTGAATAGTGGAGAGGAAATACCTCCATTTCCTCTCAGATGGTCATGATAAATTTGTTCCGGTTTTTTTTCTACTGTGCGAACTTAACACGCATAATCGGTCCTAGTTATTGTTGAAATAACTTGGCTATGTTTTGAACTATACATTATGATAAGTAATGATGCCGAAACTACTTGAGAACTTAACTTGTCGTCATATAAAAATGTAACAGAGTAGTTTGTCGAACTCCAACCAAAAAAATAAAAGGACAAGATATCCTAAAATCGTGCCGTCGTGTAGGTAATTCGCTACTTACATTCCTATTTAAATTAACTATGTTTTAAACTTTATAGCCCCAAAAGAAAGTCAACAAGCGACAACTTCCTATAAATATCGAGTCAGAAGAAAATCAAAATTTTTTCTTAAAAACGGTGTTTGGTGGCTCGTCTTTCTTGGCCTGAGTGGTTCCATATTAGCATTTGTAATTCTTTTAGCGAAATTTTTGAGTCAATTGCATTAAATATAAAATAAAAGGTTTTTGTTTTCTTCTATCATTTCAATTCCTATTTTATTCATATTCTTACTTGAAAGTACTTTACACAATAGGTATTCTTTTTGAAGTTAAAAGAAAAGGTTATAGTCTTATTTTTTAAATAATTTCTATCAATTATAATAAACATTCATAATAATTTTTAAATTCCAGACATAACATACATTGTGAAAGTTGGTGGTCGAAAGTAATATGGACAAACGTTTATCAAAGCCCCAAGGACCAGCATTCATGAATGCGTTTAGAGTGCGAGGCCCGATTCACGGGGAAAATAGCTGTTTAGCAAGACATTTTTGTGCAATTATTGTGACTCTTACCATTATTGTTGTTATTGTTACGATTGTAGGAATTGTTGTATCTATTTTACGATGACTGAGATTAATTAAAAATGACAATATTTTGTATTCCTTACTAACCTTTTTGTTAATTCGTATGCCGGTTTAGAATTATGATGATTTTGATATACGATTTTTAAGTGATATAGAAATATTGCAAAAAATATTGGAGCCAGAATATTCAAACATTAACAGCTTACCTAATAATATAAATTTTAGATTTTTAGTCTTGTTTTGGAAAAAGTCAAAAACTACGATCTATGATTGGAATTTGGCAATTGACATTACATTTTCATTTTCGTGCTGCGACGGGCGACGCTAAAATCTAAAACAAAATGGCTGAGGAAGAACCTCCAAGCTTCCTGTGATTGTTCATTGTTTTTATTTGTCTTAGTCGTGCTACGCGTTAATTCATTAGTGTAATAAAGTGTAGACAGATAAATATTTTATAATTAAAAATTTCAATGATTTTGCTACTAAGTTCTGCTGATTAATAAGTAATACGTGACCGTGTTAATGTATTCAATTCATCGCATGGAGGCACAATGACGCAGTTTTTGCCACCAAATTTACTCGCGCTATTTGCGGCAAGGGATCCCATCCCATACTTGCCGCCAGCCGCAAAATTACCACACGAAAAAAAACAGAAAGGTTACGATGGAGTCGGCGCTTTTCTTAATATATTTGAGGTTAGTTTCCAAACTTTCTATTAATATACAAGAATAATAATCCATCAAATCTTTGTTATTAACACACAGTGTGCTATAAACTTTACTGGGCTCATTTTAGTCTAACAAATACTGTAATGTATGTATGAACATGGTATTTCATACAAACAGCTTTTTATCATGAACTGTTCATGACTTAACAACTCCATGGGTAAGATTCAAATTTCAAAGTCGCGCTATGTTATAGTCAAGTAAATAATTTAATTAAATAAATAATTTAGTTTCGTTTTTTATTTATCAATTTTTAAACATTGTTATCACTATGTTCGTTAAGAATATTATGAACAATAATAAAGTATATTCTATATGTTAAAAATGTGTGACTGTTTGACTGAAATCCTTTCCCTTTGATTCTTTGTCAATTCATAATAATAACAAAAATAGCCTAGTCTGTCTAGAAAAAGAAATAGTTAAAATAGATGTGCACCAGACTGGTTAGGTACATCTATTATCAAGTACATTTAAAAAGAATACCTTTAAACATTAAATTACCTTTTAGAACCCATCAGAAACCCCCCCACCAACTCGTGTTGAGACACGTGAGGAGCGCATCGAAAGACGTCGTCGTGAAAGAGCAGAGCAGACAGCTTATAAATTGGAGCAGGAGATAGCATTGTGGGATCCCAGTATCAATACTAAGGCCACGGGTGATCCTTTCAAGACCCTGTTTGTGGCTAGAGTTGTAAGATTACATACATTTATTTTGGCTTCTAAGAACTGCAATAACAAAAACTACTTCTGAGAAGAATCTGTGTTTCAACACAGAACACAGGCTAACTTGTACAAAAGATAATTTTAACTTAAATATGGTTAAGCTGTTTATTTGTTCTGTATTTTTTAAATAAAAATGTATTTAATTTTGTAATCATCAACTTTCTTTTTCAGAACTATGACACATCAGAATCAAAACTTAGGAGAGAGTTTGAAGGTTATGGGCCAATTAAAAAGGTATATAAGTAGTTTAAATTGTTAACTAAAGCAACACAATCATACAGGTTAATGTACAAAGTGTGTCATTCAACACCTGTTTTTAACCAGCTAGTGTTTATCTAATTATAAAAGTTTTCTTTGAATATTTTATAGTTATAGGGATTAAGCGGCTCAGCCAGAAACTTGTCTAAAGCTTGAGATGGTATGGTTACCTACTCAACTAAAATCCAGTCCACAACCAAAAGCTGAGTTGACTTTAAGTTAATTCAAATAACTATTTATTTATTACAGAAATACATACATTATCCTTACAGACTATGCGAATACGATAATGTCGAGAAACATTAAATAATAAAGTACATATAAAATATTAAACACATAATATACACATTATTGGTACTGTGAATTCACTCTGTGAACATATAAATATGTCTATAGTGTCGGAGACAGCATTCAGTAGGCGCAACGTCTTTGATAACGGGGATCTGTGCTACAGACTGGTTCTTGCCCTTGGTATCTCAATTATATCTATTTTAACTATATAAAGGTTTTTTCTATCAGTGGCTTAGATAAAAAAGTACAAATTTATTTTTAAATTTTCAGATCAGCCTTGTATTCAATAAAGAAGATGGTAAGCCACGTGGTTATGCCTTCATCGAGTATGAACATGAACGTGACATGCACTGTGAGTTTTTAAATTTATATTTCATATACAGTTGATGCTTTTTAACTGTGCGGTTAAGCAAAGAAAGATATCTTAAGAAAATACTCGGAAAATTTGTCCAGCTGAATTTATACTCTTTTGAACCATGTATTTTTTAAATTGATATGACAATAGACTTTATGTATTCTTAATATTCAGTGTTTGTTACATAACATTTTTACTAATTCAAAACTTAATAGTGGGATGATTTCAAAGAAAATAAATGGTGGGAAGATGTATTAAGTTATGAAATATTTTTTGTATTGCACCTTTTGCTACCTTTTAAAGAATATAACACAGTCAAAAAGTATCTACATCTTTAAACAATATTTAACTTATTTAGCAAAATCTGCTGGAATCCTTCTTGGAATTGTTATTGTGAGAGATTATCTTAAGAATATTAGACCCACACTTGTGCTATATTATTTACCATTGATTTATAAAATAATCTAGTTTTGGCCTTACCGATTATAGCACCACCATAATTCTTCCAATTTACATATCATAAAATGCCTATACTATGTGCTGTAGCATAGTGCAGTTGACAGTTGCTTAAGTTTTCGTTCAATTTATTTTTATTTATAGACTAGAACATTTTGGCTGGGTATAGTTAATGCAGTTATTAATGATTTAATATACTACAAATGTGGTACAGCTGAAAGCGCACCATGCTACAGCGCACATAGTATAACTAAATTTAAACATCCATACAAAACTATACCAAACAATCCATAATCATTTTAATCAACATTCTAACAATTAATTAATTAAATACATTTGTCTTAAATGTATTTAAATTTCTTTAATTCTTAAACTTATCTTTGGTTATTTGGAAGTTTTTGTATCTAAGTCATTCATAAATATGTTTGTAAAAAGGTAAAATGTGATATTGAAATAAATATTTTAAATAACTATTAGGCCAATATACAATCTTCTTTGGTTTCAAAATAGGACACTTTTTGCCCGGGTGCTATATATAACAACCTGTAATTGCATGTTGGTAGATTTCTTTATAAATATACTAGAGTTAATTTTCACATACAAAAGCGAGTAGAGATCAATTCCAAGATGGTACTACAGCTTTGGGCTGTATGATGACATGATTAATGAGTCGTTTTCTCTATTCGCACCACAGACCCAGCCGTTTTGACCAATGCTACTCGATTCCGGCCCAGTTATTAGGTTTGTATGTGGTAAGACGCCAACATACAACGTATATTAACTAAGAAATTCATAATTTATCCTTACAATGTCAACCATCAATTAAGTAGGAATTATATATTAGCAACATAGGTGGCAATTACCTGACATATCTTGATACAATATTCTATGAAGGTGTGTGAGGGTAGTTTTTAACAAGTGTTAAGGTAATTTGATTTCAATAGGCACGGTAAGATTAAAACACGATTCGTCTATCGTTATTCTACAAGATATAATTCACAAATAATGTTTTTCAAAATGAGGGTAGTTCAATATCGGACCCCGTAGGTACGGTAAGATTAATGATTCCAAATTTAAAAATGTAGGGGTATTTAAATGTTTTCTGTAGTAAGTTCAAAGTCGTCGTGAAACCTTGCCTTATTTTATCAAACTTTAAAAGTTGGTATGTCAACATTGGTTAATTTTCCGAACATAACTTACGCCAATCAGCAAATCAGGGAATAATGAACACTGAAAGGCTAAGTATGGGTTTTTATTAAATATTATTAAATTCATTTAATTAAAAGCGCAATGGAAACGTAAGTAGTATGCGCACCAGGTAATGGTTCACACGCCGCGAACGGAATTTTTAATATTAAAGTAAGTAAAATGTAAATGTGGGTATTCGTAAAAAAAATTAAGGTAGGTATTTTCGATACGGCTTGGTCGGTAGGTATGTCTGTTGCGATTTTATTGCATTTTTTTTTTTTTCAGCTGACCCCCAAACTAGGATGGCCGATTTGATAGTTTCTAAAAAAAACTTGTAATTATCTACTTTATATAAATCTTTTGTCAAATCGACCAATCTAGCTTCGGTTTTGATGTGTATAGCAGTTTCATACGCACAGTTGTCTCTTGTGTGTGCCTCTTTTGTTAACACATATTTCAGCGATATAGATAAAATACACAGAAAATTGCAAAAATACTCCTTTGTGCCTTTAGACCCTTAGATCCTGATCCTCTCAGTGTTTAGTTAAATCCATTATTAAGAGGCACGCAAGAGAGACGTAGGAATATTACGAAATATAGCAGTAGCTAATCACACAATCCGATACGAATCACAATTGTGTTAAAACAACAAAAAATGTAACAAAACAAGACTTACGAGTTGGAACACATTACCAAATTATATAATATCAGTGAGCTCACTTGTAAATATCGAATTATAAAATCATAATAATTTTTAGTGATAATTAACTATTTCTTCTAAACATATACAATTATCAAAAGCTTAAAAATTATGTAAATACCAACAACATAACAACTGTGATTAATAGCGAATTGTCCGAATAGCTTGCTACATTTCGTAATAAAACCAGCTTTATTTCATTCACTAACAATTATTACCTTACAGCGGCCTACAAACACGCGGACGGAAAGAAGATTGATGGAAAACGGGTTCTTGTGGATGTGGAGAGAGCTCGTACCGTTAAAGGATGGCTTCCGAGAAGGCTTGGTAAGTTGGATAAGAGAATCAACTGTACTAAACCTACAAGTATATATTAACCTTTTGTCAAGTATATGTTAGTATTATATGTTTTTGGTAGTTTGAATATCTTTAATTTAGTTCCTGAATCCATGTTTAATGAATCCCACATCTGCTGTAACCTTTATACATTGTTCTAAGACTTTTTTCCTGCAGTTGTATGCCAAATAACATTATTTTAATTAAAAAGATAAATATGCTGGTAAATTAATTATGTAAGTACTAGCTGCCCCCGCAAACTTCATTTCTCCTTCATCATTAATATGATTTTACTTAGCCTACCTTTTTAGTACATTCTTCCAACATGGAACATTTTGCTATTCTACCCCAAAGACTGTTCGGTTTTCTGAAATGAAAACTTTTTAGGTTTTTCTGTGAATTTTTCTCTATATTAACCTCAGAGTTGAGGTCATAAAATTTTAATTAACAAATAAAAAATAGTGTTGATCTTAGAGGGGTGAAAATTAAGGGTTGTATGTATTTTTGTATGCTGTATCATAAAAAAATTTTTTTTGGCGTGGACACCCCTTATCACTTAGGGGTTTGAAATATAGATAGTAGACGATTCTCAGACTTACTGAATATGCATAAAAAATTTCATAAGAATCGGTCGAACCGTTTCGGAGGAGTATGGGAACGATCATTGTGACACGAGAATTTTATATATATAGAGATTATGAATAATGTTTTTAGGTGGAGGACTTGGCGGAACAAGACGCGGTGGCAATGACGTGAATATCAAGCACTCGGGAAGGGAGGACAACGAGAGAGAGAGGGAGAGATACCGACTGGAACAGCGCGACAGAGACAGGGAGAGAGACGAGCGGGTCAATAGAGAGCGGGAACGTGAGTAATTGTCTCGTATTTTGTTAGGAAAAAATATATGTTGTATTAAATTACTAAATGTCAGATACACTTCACATAGTTTCTCAACACTACTCTATAAATAAGAGGTATATAAAACTTGGTGCCGTTTTCAAAAACCTAATAATAAAATAATTTAATAAAAACTATACAATTTCAGGTCCTGCCCGTCGTAGAACAAGATCTCGTTCTCGTCGAAGATCTACGTCTCGTACTCGACGACGGGAAAGAGAAAAGAGAGAGGAAGAACCACCGGCTGAGAGGTTAGTACGCTTATGTTCCTTTAATTTGAGTACTATGTGGAACCAGCTGCCCACTGAAGTATTTCCGATGTCAAGAAAAGAGACCTGTTCGACCCCTGTTTAATATATATGTTAACGTAAAATTGTAAAAACCGTTAGATTGTAATCTATCTCGCGAGATTATAAACTGTCGAAAGATAGTGAACCTCAGCGTACTGCTTACAATTTAACGTATTATTATTCGGTAGATTGTAATCTATCGAAGTGAAACAAACAAATGTCAAACTGTGAAACGGTGGATATTTTCTACTTTTTCTATTGGTTATAAGGATTGACATTCTCGTTTTCTATTGGTTATAAGTGATGTGACATTCTCGGTAAATTAATCGAATCGATTATTTCCTCATTTGTTAATTTTAAAGTTGAACCTAATCGAATCGATTATTTCCTCATTTGTTAATTTTAAAGTTGAACCTAATCGAATCGATTATTTCCTCATTTGTTAATTTTAAAGTTAAACCTAATTTAACCATTATTTGTCAAATGTACATACATTACATTAACTTCATGTTTCAGTTAGTGTAGTGTTCCGAAAATTTTGAAATTATTCAAAAATAATCTATTTTTTAAAAGTGAAAATCGATTTTTGTATTCGATTTCGAGTTTCAGTTGAACAGTTATTTTAAAAAAAAATTAATAAACTAACCTAACCTAACCGAATAACATTTTTTGGACAGCTCCGGCGCTACGGGAAATGCAACCCCTCCACCCTTGCGTATCAAAGCACAGGCAATTTATTCAAGCCTTCTCTTCCTCCGCGCCTCCGATTTTTTATATACACTCTAGGGATTTTTATATACAGACAAGACCACGTGGATAGTGGGGTGCTCTGATTCGGTTTTGGGTACTTTTTGAATAATTTAAAAATTTTCGGAACCCTACACTAATTGAAACATGAAGTTAATGTAATGTATGCATTTGACAAGTAATGGTTAAATTAGGTTTAACTTTAAAATTAACAAATGTGGAAATAATCGATTCGATTAGGTTCAACTTTAAAATTAACAAATGAGGAAATAATCGATTCGATTAATTTACCGAGAATGTCACATCACTTATAACCAATAGAAAAGTAGAAAATGGCCGTTTCACAATTTGACGGTTTCACTTCGATAGATTACAATCTACCGAATAATAATACGTTAAATTGTAAGCAGTACGTTGATTTCACAATCTTTCGACAGTTTACAATCTCGCGAGATAGATTACAATCCAACGGTGTTTACAATTTAACGGTGACATATATATAAACAAAATATGGTGTTACTTATACTTGAATTGAACTACACAATTTTTTTTTACAATTAATTATATAATCAACTGTTTTTTTATTTATTTGTTTAAAAAAAAACATGAAATAGGATATTTTGTGGTTTACTCTCATTTCAATTACCTAAACCTTTTAAAATCTGCTATCATTGCGATTTGACTTGTTTGTTTGTAAACAATTAGTATTTGAATTTATGGTAATATAAAAATAATATAGTAGAACCCGATTTTGAGGAAATTTGGACAATTTTGTTGGAATATACCTGATATAAATCAAATAGGATCATTGTGATATGACTGTTTCTGAGAAATTTATGGCAAACATACTTTTACGAAACTTTCGCACATCCTTGTATTTTAGACCCAATATATTCAATATTGTATTATAATATTTGAATTTAATTTAAATGAATGACTTCCAGACGCCGTCGCCGTTCTCGCTCTCGTTCCGAACGGCGGCGCGAACGCCGCGACCGGGACAAAGACAAGGACAAGGATAAAGATAAGGACAGGAGGAGAAGGAGAGACAGGGACAGGAAGGAGACGAAAGTCAAGCCGGAGGATATTAAGATCAAGGAGGAGCCTCAGGATGGTAAGAGACTTTTTATATAATAATATTTATAAGGTTTGGCTTCGGATTGCATCTGTTTTGTTGATCATTATAGACATGTAGGTCACTTTGACACATGTCGATTTTTGGGTGTATGATCCAAGACTTAGTCTTACAAATTGATGCCTAGTATTGTAAATACTAAAACTAAACTAGTGCCTTTTAAACTAACATAAATGAGACGAAAATCAAAATGGTTAAATCGACAATTGCTTGTTTAATATTCACGTCCGTGTACTAATATTCACCATTTTTTTAATCATCCTGATCCTGTAAAGATCGTGTTCAGCGACGAATATAAATTTATGGCCTCTGAGATGTTCCTTTTACCACGAAAAGAGGTAGATATCACTAGAGAGTTATATCTACCTCTTCTTTGGCTTCATGAGCCAGGGCCGGTGAATATGGAGGACATGCATCAACACCTTTGTGAAACTCTGTCTCGTTTGTTTCTGTGCGTCAGAAAGCATTCTAGGCGCGCCGACACTTTTTTATTCTCTTATGGTTGTGTATAGTATAATGGACGCTTTCTATAGAAATCTCTATTTCTTTTGCTATAAATAAACAGTTGCTTCTTTTTTTTAAACGAGACAACTGGTTTTTTTAAATTATTATATCTAATGTCCCAGACATTGGCTTGATTGACTATGCCTGACAGTATTTTTTACCCAAGGAGCATGTATAGCATTATCAATATTTATTGAACACTTCTATGGTACCAGGTGTCAAGGATAAAAATATATGTTTTTTTTTATTTAATATCAAAATTTCATATTTCAGATTATCCAGAGTTCTCGCTGCCACCTCTGGACATGCAGATCAAGCAGGAGCCTGAAGACGAGAATAAATATAATCCTGAAGATGCCAACGGAGACGATTATTATTAGGCTAATTACACAAACCTCTTTTTCCTAAGGTCACTATCACGGTAAAAGTCATCAAACATATACAATGCACCTGGTCCACAAGAGATATTAGGGATTGGTCAATGTACCTTGAACAAGGTCTCTGACCTCTCCCCGGAATATTAATGCGTATATATAAATAAATAATCAAATCAAAATCTTGTCTTAGCACTGTCAAACTTTATGGAGAAAAAGGTTTGATGGCACTCGATCACAAGATTTAAGTTTGATTGTTTTAGAATACAGGCTTTTGATGACTTTTTAATTTCGTTTCGCTTAGATTGTCGTGCTTAGAAGACTACACAGCAATACTGTTCACTTTAAAATTCCTATCTTTATCCTTAGAGAGAAAAATTATTTCCAATTTATGATTCGCGTCACTAGATAGCGCTTACCTTAACTTGCTGTGTTCAAATTGTTTTTAAATTTAACTAGGTTTTTAGAAAACCATACAATGAAAATTCATACAATTGTATTGAATCATTTCGTGTGTATGGTAAAGTTATACAATTTAAAGTAAGCCCTTGTACTTCCAGTCAAATGAACTAATAATAAACCTCAAGCAATACAATGATTGTAATATAATAAATGGAAAATTTTAAGTGTTTTTTTGTACCTTTTATTCTAAAATAACCCTAAGCTGTAAATAATCACTATTAATCGGTTACTAACAACCGGAACAATAACCGTAACCGAAATGATGATTTAATTTGAAAAACACCTGATTTTGTCTATTCTCCAGTTGGAAGGAAGGCGGTAAATTAAACTGAAAATGATTATCTACATTTGCTCTCCTTAATACCTAAGTTGTATGCTGGAAGCATTCTGAAATGAAAATTAGAAAACCCTTCATAAAATCGTTAAAATAGTAATGCCATAATAAAATATAAATTTAAGATAGATTTGTATTATAAGGGACGTCTAGAGCTCTGATTAAGAACATGTAATAAAAAGATATTTTTTTCAATAACATTATTCATATAGGTAAACAAGTACACTTATGAACGTCAACAGAAAATATGTTAAATTGATTCTAAATTTAAATTTACTACCAGTTCGCAAGTCAAGGGCGTAGAGCGGGCAACAAGAGTTTTGAATTTATTGAATAATAATTAATTCTCTAATTTCGCTTGGGAGTTTATTGTTAAAACAAATCCAATTTCCATATAAGTGATTTATCTTCTGGTTGGTTGTACGCTTAAATTAGTTCTCTTTTGAGTATTATACTAGTGAAAGTCATAGTTTGTTTTAAGATATATTATTGTACACATAATACAACAAGACTTCAAGAATATATTGACCAGATAGTGTCATAATATATTAGGTCCTTACATATGAAATTGGCGTATTTCGTACTGGCCACTTTAATCACGATGTTCTCTTTGGTAAGGAATTCCAAATTCAAATTTGTACAGCTATTTACTCATGTATTTGTGCTTCGATGACCGTCATTCATTTGTTTTTCTGTTTGCGTCACTCATTTTACAAAATGGAAAACTTAAAGTATCGTATTATTTACGAGTACGAGTTCCGCCGTGGCACTAGTGCTGCGGAAACGACTCGAAGGGTGAATGATGTGTATGGCGGGCATGTTGCAAAAGAAAACACAGTTCGTTTTTGGTTCCAACGTTTTCGTTCTGGAAATTTCGACCTGCAGAACAAGCCTCGTGGACGGCCTGAGACCCAAGTTGATAATGATGAAGGCTATTGTGGAAGCGGATCCATCGCAAACCACGTCCGAGTTAGCTGCAGGCTGTGGTGTTAGTGATAAAACTGTTTTAATTCACTTGAAGCAAATTGGGAAGATTAAAAAGCTTGAAAGATGGGTACCTCACGAATTGACTGAAGCAAACCGGCAAACGCGCGTCGACTGCTGCGTTAGATTACTGAACCGGCACAATAATGAAAGTATTTTAAACCGAATCATTACCTGTGATGAAAAATAGATTCTTTACGATAATCTGAAGCGCTCAGCGCAATGGTTGGATCCTGGCCAGCCAGCCAAATCCTGCCCCAAGCGAAAATTAACCCCAAAAAGTTACTTGTAAGCGTTTGGTGGACTAGTGCCGGTATTGTTCATTGCAGTTTTGTCAAATATGGCCAGACTATTACGGCTGATGTCTATTGTCAGCCATTGCAAACCATGATGGAACAGCTAGCGGCTAAACAACCTAGGCTGGTCAATCGCTCCATGCCACTGCTACTTCACGACAACGCTAGACCACACACTGCACAACAGACGGCTACCAAATTAGAAGAGCTTCAATTGGAATGTCTAAAGGTGCGCTTACACGAGGGCAATAATTGCTCGGAGACACGAATGGACCGATCTGGAACAATTTCAATAAATTCAATAAATTTCAAAAAATTATTTCGGCGATATTGCTTCTAATTGCTCCAGATATTTCATATCGCTCAATGTCGCAGATACGAATTGACGAATATCCAATGGACTTGGAAATTCCTAGCAATTTTTGTATATGTCTCATTCGCACTTGTTTGTTTTGCGGCTTGCCGTCTTGCTTCCGCGGGGAGAGCGAGAGGTCTAAATAATAATAATTTCTAATTACTTTATTCAAAAGTAATTCAAAGTCTGTTCGTGCAATTCTAGTAAAGTTTTTGAATAAAATATTATCTAATTCTTGAAAACAAAACAATTAAATTGAAGAAAAATTAAAAAAATAATAAATTAAAAATTTAATTAATTAATTATTTTTTTCTTTAATTGTTTAATTTTATTTTCACAATGAAAATTGCGGCCTCTGCCAAAAACGATCGCACCCAAATTTGACGCACCAGACGCCTTTTCCTTTTCTTTCTTTTTTGTTTTTGATTAATAATAAAAAAAGCGCTACAAGCCGCCGCAGCAAGAAGAATGTCGTCCATAGCGAGCGAATACTGAAATGCTCGTGTAGGACAGTATTGCCTAGTTGATGAAGTTGCGCCATATCGCTCAATATTGTATTGCGCAGTATTGATGCTTGTTGCCGTTGCCGTAAATTGCTTGATGTAGTCGTGACGTCATAGTTGACGAGTATTGACTGGAATTGAGCAATTTTAGTTGCCCGTGTAAGCGCACCTTAAGACATCCTCCGTACTCCCCGGACCTTGCTCCAACAGATTACCATTTTTTTCGAAATTTGGACAAGTTCTTGCAAGGGAAAAAATTTAACTCTGATGGGGCAGTCCAAATCGCCTTCACAGATTTTATTGATCCGACTGGTTTTTTTAGTAAAGGGATCAATGAACTACTTATGAGATGGCAAAAGTGCATAGAAAACAATGGTTCATACTTTGATTAATTAAATATATTAAATTTAAAAATATTCGACTTTTTGTTCCTCCCATACAAAACGCCAATTTCATATGTAAGGACCTAATATTATCCTGCAGCAGCACAAGAAGAATACAGTACCATATATTTGAACAGCGAAACAGACTAAATTACTCATGAGTTATAACCATATGTTTGATATCACCGTACCTCCCAATGAGGCAGATTACTTTGTATCACCTTAAAGCACTAATCGAAATAAAACAAGAAATGTAGTAATAAATTTAATATGCATCAATATAAAATAGCTTAAGCATGTTCATTTGTTCCTATAATTTAACTTATACTCTTATCACTATCTTTATGCTTCTCTTTGTTTTTCTTTTGTTTTTTCTTTCTCTTTTTATTTGGATCTTTCTTTTTATTCATATTGTTGTATTTCAATAGTTTTTTATACATTTTTAATAATTGCTTAGCGTCTTTCTCCATTTCTTTAGAAACTTTTTCAGTGACGACCTCGTCTTCCCTAACAGGGTCAACAAATTTCGTAGATCCTTGTAATGTGTTGTAGTGCTGTATAGATCCTTCTATTAATTGATCTTTTCTAGCTAACAATGGAGTTTCTTCAGTGGTTACTTCTACTTGATCTTTTTTCGTTTCTTCTATGTGTTTCTTTAATTTTTTATTCTTTCTTCTCATTGCATTAAGAATATTGGCTGTGGACAGTACGGATTTAACTTTTTTACTCTCTAAATATCTGTCCTTCCAAGAAATATTTTCAACTTCTTCAAATTCATTTCTTTCGTGTTCTAATCTCTCGAATTCTCGTATCTCCTCTTCAGTGATCACATCTTCTCTTTTTATATCATCTATCTTAGCTGAGAGAGCAGCAATTTCTTTAGCAGTTGGTTCTTTTGATAAAATAGAAATTCCTTCCACTTCAAAACAAGAAGAATCGTCAGATAGTTCTAAATATTCAAAAACGTCATCTAAAGATTCATCTGTATCTAATATCTCCTTTATGTTCAATTTATCATCTGTGACTAAATTGTTACTGTCAAGCTTTTCATTTGCACTCAAATGTGTTTTATCTTCATCCAAATCTATAAGAACGACTGTACTTTTAGCCTCTGCATTGTCAGTTGTCTGTATTTTATAAAAGTTTTGGTCAGCGCTTTCGCGAAAATCCGACTTCTTACTTTTTTTAGATTTCTTATCTTTCTTCTTTTTCTTTTTAGTTTTACTCTCTTCATCAGAAATGCAAACTACTTCAGTTTCGATACTTTGCTCTGCTATGCTGTGCTCGGATAGTTCGCCATCGGATAAGTTCCTGTTTACTATTTCCCCATCTTCAGCGCTATTTGTCTCTTCTAGTTCTGTTTTTGCTAAACCGTTCGATATTTGACATTCTTTATTTTGTATAATATTATTTTTATTCTCACTTCCAGATGCCACAATTTCATGGTTTTGTGTAGCTTTTAGTAATTCCATGGCATCAATTTTATCTAAAGTTTCTGTCTCAATTTCAACGGGAACTTTTTCAATATTTTCGTTACCATTTTCTTGATTGACAGATGTAATTTCGCGTTCATCAACCGCCATGCCGTCACATGACTCCGAAACTTCTGTTTCAGATTTGTTTTCCTTTATATTTTTGCTTTTATCTTCCGATCTCTTATCCGTTTCAGGTATTTCTTGTGCTTCTTCCATTATTTTATTTTGGTGAAGAATGGTAGCATCATTTGCAATAGATTCACTTCTAGATGCTTCCAGATTAGGATGACTGGAGTTAGTTGTTTTATTTGTCTTTTTAGAATATTTGTCATTACTCATTGAACTTGATTGATTTGTTTCTGAACTACTCTCTGAATCTTCACTTGAAGTTCTATTTCTATCAAAGTCTTCTAAAAGATCCATCTTTTCGGAGTCTGATAGTTGTAATGTAATTTCGTCGTGATCACTGCCATCCTTCTGTTTATCTTTTTTCTTTTGTTTCTTTTTCTTTTTGTCCTTTACTATATCTTTGCCAATTGGTAAAGGAACTGTTTTTGGTGGTTCTGCTTTTTCTTTTGAAAGTACGTTGTCTTTTTTAGTAGATTTCGGTCTGTTAAGTTTAATCTTTCTTGTTGCTTTTGTTTGAGGTACAGTTATAATAAGATCATTAATTCTTTTTGTTACGGTATTAGTATTTTCTTCAACTGGTGTCTCCTTGGGTTTAGTACTTTCAACTACTCCTGGAAATTAGAAATTTTATCATTAAAGAAAAGACTAAGAATAGCATTTATCATTCATAATTAATTCTGATTGTGGAATTGAATTGAATGAATATTTCATTTAAAACACCATATTGCTGAATATATATGATCACAAAAGCATTAACAAGTTATTGTCTTATACATAAAAGTGTATTAAAATTGATTCATTTGTTTTCAAAAAGCGTGTATAAAGAAGCTTCTGTTTAATAAAACCATGATTTGAATAATGTTTAAAATATATTTTTTGTAAATTACATTGTTAAAAAATAAAAATAAATGTTTGTCATATATATGAACATACTTTGTAATTCCTGTACGCTTGGCTTTTCATCTTCACTGCTAATCTCTACAACCTCAGGAGCCTCTTCTTTAATCACCACCTCGTCATCATCACCCGATGATGAAGCTTGATTTTCTGTTTGCTCTGCAGATACTGAAACATACATAAAATAAAAGTTACTTTCAGTTACCCACACTGTTTGAGACTTGATATTCTATAAATGAGTATAAAATAGTTACATTACTATTTAATAATTTTCAATAACAGCTATACACACACACACAGCAACTTTTTGAATAAAATTCATGTCAGCCTGAAAATAACACTAGTACATAATTTATTTACCCAAAGCTTGATGTTGTTGTAACTGTGCCCGTATGGCCCTGGCTCGGGCCTGCAACTCTAATAGCTCTAAAACAGTGAGACCCGCACGAGATGCCTTATTATTCTCATCTTCATCAGGTTTCTGTGACTCTTTATGCTTATCTTTATGCTTGGACTTTGAGTGGCGGTGATGTTTATGCTGGAATTTTATTTTAATTTATCTGTCATGCCAATAATAGAATGTACAAGTTTTACATTTTTTATTATTATATATTAAAGTACTTTGAAGAATCTTAAGTTTTTTAATTTTTATTTACATTCTACAAATTGAGTCCAATTATAAGTGTATAATGCCTACTTACTTTTTTATTTCTCTTAGAGCTACCTTGACTTAATATTTCTTCATCTGAGGAGATGCTATCAAGGGATATGGTCTCAAACCTCTCTGGAGATGAGCTAGAAGATTCTGTGTTGGAAGGAGGATCGGCTCCATCTAAGATGGCACAAAGACGTTTTGAACTTATACCAAGAAGCTAAAACATGAAAATAATATATTATATGTTATTTGATAAATTCATTTATTAATTTAAATCTCCTATTTAGAATAAAACCCAAATTAAGCACAAGATAACACAATTTTAACTCCAATGTATGAAGCATAAACTACAAACAAACTCCATTTGTTTTAAGCAAAGCAACTAATTTAATTAGCAAGCATTGCTTTTTCAATTTTTAATCATTTTATAAAAACAGTCTTAGTAAGCTAAATTTTTGATATAATAAATAAATATATAATCTTTATTTCTTCTCTCACATATACATACACGGTTATTATGATTAAACTAAGACATTTGGAAGTGTATGATGAGTATATAACCAGTGTTTCTTAACCTTCATTGTATGTAAAAGTTAATTTTTATAAAAATTATATTCACCAACACGACATACTTAACCTTCATTTTTAGATCCCTAATTCCTGTAACCTACCTCTTCAGTACACAGCTCCTGCAAATCATCAAGGGATATATGTCGGATACATTCCGGTGCCATTGCTCTTAACTCTTTGTGTTTCAAAACCGAAAAAACCTGATGCATCAGCTCGACTCTATCATGTATGTAATAGGCTAAATCGTGCTCTTCGTGTCTTATTTGGGACGATTCTGGGATTTCCCGTTTGATCCTATGTTTTTTTACACGCTTCATGCTAATTTTCGTGATGTAAATCTACAATGGAATATTAAAGATTTATTATTTGTTTATATTTTCCCTCGAATCGATAAGGACCGCGTATCGATATCGAACTATCTGTCAAGTCAAGAAATTAGAAATCTTGATTTTAGCAGCTAGCTGTCAAGACAACCGATCAAGCAGTCGTTCAGAAAATTCAAAATGCACCTTAAAAAATGCATGGTGATACCCTATATTTAATTATTAAGAGAGTCTGTGCAGAAAGAGAACCTTCGTGGGATTTTAGGTCGCAGCTGATCTAAATTGCTTTTTTTAAATATATAGACAAAACTATTAGACGTCAATCTAATTCAACGAGAATCTTGATACTTGTTATGAAAAAAGTATTTAATTCAACTTATTTCATAAAGTATCTTGTTATTTTTTTCCATAGATTGTGTTTTTATTAATGTATACTTTTTGGACAATTTGTTAGATGACTTTTTGAAAATGATACGAATTATACAAAAATAATGTAAAATTTAGAAAGAGTGAAATGCCGCAGTTAGAAGAAATTTTAAATAATTACTTGGACAGAGGTATCCAGGCGGTGTTTCATGCTTTTATATATAATTTGTTTCCGAATATAGTTCATCATATCATACCCACCCATTGCATAAAAAATGGTAATAATATAAAGTTTAAGAGACCAGCGTTTGTAAGAATCTCTTACAGCTCCCAAGCTCGATATTTCTGAACGATAAATAATTTTAATTTTCGCGCTACTTAATATCTGTTTACAAAATGGCCGTCGATAAATTATACGAATGTGAAGACTTTTTAGTAGTGAATAAACCATACGATATGTATATAAATTCGGATGACGAAAATGAAAAGGTATGTTTGACATAGCTATTGTTATAAATAATAATCATTAAGATACTATATGATACAAAAATGTAGGTTATGTTTATTGTAGACTGTAGTGGCGAGCCAAACTTTCTGTATAAAAATCGGTAAAGTCGGTTACAGCTGATTTCTGGTCTTTATTAATATTTCATATTGTTAAACAAGTTAATCATAATCTGTGGATATTTTAAAAATCGTTTAAAAGATATCAGTCTAACTTTTTATAAAGTCTAGACTGTTTCTAAGTCCTAACCTTTGTTAGAAGCAGATAATATATTTTGTGACAAGTTATAACATATTCTAATCTATAATTTATTTATTTTCTTATTAGAACACCGTAACCTGTCACATTGCATCCCACGACTCCCATCTATCGACTTCTTCAAACCCGCTGTATTTTATACAACGACTCGACTATTCAACTAGTGGCGTCCTCTGTATTGCTAAGAACAAAACCACCGCTGGTTTAGCTGGAAAGTAATAACGATTTTCTTAAAGTCAATCGAATTTTTACGTGCTTGTTACTTTAAGTATGTAATGTTTATTTTTTTTAAGACTCTTTGAAAAACGTTTAACGAAGAAGTATTACTTGGCAATTGTGAGAGGCCACCCAGAATTTCAAGTCGCCGAAATACGATACGCTGTGGGTAGGTGATATAATATGTATATCTTAATTTATAATGTATATTATAAATATAACGCAAAAAGATATTTAGAATCTAGTGTTTTGGTTTATAAAATGATTATATTTTTCGTTTCCAGGCGTAGATCAAACACCGGATCACGGGCATCGTATGTCAGTGGTATCCAAGACGAGTATCGCTGGTGATGCACGACCGGCTCACACGCGGCTCTTATTACTTGAAACTGGATATTATTGTGGACAACCCGTAGCTGTAGTACTTTTAAAGCCAATTACGGGTATTGCCCTGATGCCGATTTAAAATTTAATGAATCCATGTACATTAAAAACGACTAACTACTAATATAATATTTAGGACAATATTGTAACTAACAACAAACCAAATGACATATGATTGTCTGCTTTAATTTTACCATTCTATCCATCCATCATAGCATGATTCACATTGTAAGAATAATTATTTTATTTCTGTCTTAGGTCGCCGTCATCAATTACGCATCCATTGCCACTCGGCCTCTCACACTATTCTTGGAGACTACACCTACAGTGACCGTACTGACACTGCTCCACATCGAATGTTTTTGCATGCTATTAGGTGACTTATTTTATTCTGGTATTGTACAAAATTCAGTTTAACATGTCCAGTTATTTAAATTAATTTTAATCCTTATTATTTTAGGCTAGTATTACCGTTGCCACATAAACCGTTAGACATTCAAACGGCTGAGCCTTTCTTCAGCGATTCTAAGTTTTCTAGTAAGTGGAAGTCTCACCGAGTCGTGTATAAATACAGGAGTAAAGAGGAACTGTTGGCGGCATGTGATGATCTTGACAGGGAATATATAGTTGGTGTCAAATATAAAGATTTTAGCGTTTAATAAATTATTAGTTTTCAAAACTGTTTAACATTGTCTTCTCTATACCTGAAAAAACTTCACCAAATATTGATGTAATATATTTAATCAGAAAATGCCTTGTTTCATTGAATCGTGTCTTGAAATAGTTTTTTTAATTTTTTTCCAGTATTTTTGTAAAACTTAAAATAGCAGTCAACTGATTTCAAAGTTTAATTATAGATCTTACATTCTTACCGGTTTTATACTTTTTAGAACAACATTAAATACAATTTGACAGTGTTTTGACAACTGACAGCTTAGATTTAAAAAAATAGAAACAAACCCTTAGGCGTAAGGACGCCGTTTTATTTTGTTGTTTATTTACTTAATAACTTAAAATAAACTAAAGTCGGAATAAAAGAAGAAATAAAGAGTATAATATTGGCCATAGTTTTAAATAAAATGGAAGAGTTGTGTCCCGGTTGCCTGTGTTCAGGAAGAAAATTAACTTACATTAACGGAACCTCTGTTTACTATTTTTACAAACAAATTGTTGATGAAATTGCCGTAAGTTATTCTTATATACATAAGATATATTTTATTATTTATATAATTAACTAAATTTACCCAAGTCTTGAAAAATATACTTTTTTATCTTTTTAATGAATAATTAGGCTCCAGAAGTGCTACCGCAGCTTTCAAAGGTTTGTTGGGAATGTACAGCGCTGCTCCGTCGATTCCAATGTTTCCAGCAGCAAGTAAAGTGCTGTTACCTTGAGCTACTAATGTGCGTACAGCAGGTATGTTTTCCGATAGTATGATTAAACAATATTTTAATTTATTGTAAATTTTCAACCTGCTAAACTACATGAGTTGCCCGCATGGAAAAATTATCAGAGTTCACAACAGATAAACAAATTATTAATTGCTAACGTTGTTGATGATTTACATTATATACATATTCAGTCATGTATTTAATAAAAGTGCTACAGAATTTACCCAAGAGCTATCTTAACAATTAAAATTTCAGAATTCACAACAATCACTATCAAAACCATCACACCTTCAATGTCAGTCAGCAGTCACTATTAGCTTTCCAGAAGTGAAAGTAGATGTGGAGATTAAGGAGGAAACAGAGGAAGTTCATTGTGAACCAGAGACATTTGTTAACCAGATAACTTGGGGAGATGATTTAGAAAAAGTAAGTATTTATGCTGCATCAAAAATATAATAGGTGTATTGTTCTTTGAAAAATTAACCTCTGAATATGAGGCTAAGTGTAATATTAAAATACACACTGACAGTCAACTGTATCTATTATTTAGTTAAAGTTATTTGCCATAATTCCTGTAAAATATGTAAGATGTTCAGTTTGTATGTATCCTGCTGAAAAATATTCATTTTAAAAGGAAAATGCACAATATTTAATAGTATGATTTACTATATTCTGTTCAGGTACTTAGATGAATGTTTAATGTAATATATTTGCCTGATATTTCTAGGATGTGCTACCTTGTGAACCTCAAGATATTATAAAGAAAGCTGATAAGGCAGAGAATAAACAAAATCTGAAAGGCAAAGTATGTATTTTTATAACATTAATAATGTGAAAATATTGCAAAAATACGTAATAACAATCATGTGTGTTTTGTACTTTTATGCATAATAACAAACTTATTTCTAGTATACAATTCAAAAATTTTAAAATTCAATTTTTTTTATTCAAAATCAAGTTACATTTTAGCAGATATTGGAGCCCCTGAACTAAGTCTAGGGAGACCTGTACATCAGGGTACTCTGCTCTTCCAATGATTTAATGAAATAGTAACTTAACAATAATTGAAGCAAAAATACTATATTATAAAGAAAAACAGAAAGCTAAGACTAATTACTAAACTAAGGATACAGGTTTACATGGTTGAGACATTTGTACGCACCAGGATGATAACCTTAGGGAAGGGATGGATGGGAGGTAGAGGGTGGTAGTGTAAAGTAGTGTAAAGTGCATTGAGGAAATTAAGAATTATACTTGAACGACCAATTCAGTATCTTCGAAATTTAGTGATCAAAGCCACTTGGTAATTAATGTTTTAATTTCGAATAATAACTTTGGGTAAATAAATATAAGGGATTCTATTAAGTTTGTTGTATAGCTGACTAGATAGTTAAGAATTGGTGATTGGAGGTGGTGTGAGAATTTGGTTTTTACATTGAGATATAATGCACACTAGGTCCTTCCTACGCCTTTCCAGTAGTGTATTGTTATAGTGCATTAGAGTATGTTTTCTAAGGATACATCTAAGGATGAACAATTGGTGGATGGTAAGAAGATTGCTTGAATTGTATAAATCAAAAGTTGAATAGGTTCTTGAAAAACAGGAGAATAAACTATAAAAATAAATTATGATACTTTAATGTGGTGTTGTAATAGATGTTTTTCTACAGACAAAGAAAAAGCAGAAAAAGAAACTAAAACTAAAAAGAAAAACTAAATTAAAGAAAGAAACATCTGAGAGCGACCATGACTTTGACGATAATGAGACTGATTTTCAAATTGAGGATGAAAAAGTAGATCAAAATATTGAACAAGACATAGAACAAAATGTAATAAAGGAAAATTTAGATAAAAATGAAATAAATTCGGAGAATGAAACTAAGGACAAGGACCTATTAGGGACAGAAGTGAATGAAACACAGATTGAATTGGATGATGATGTACCTGATGTAAAGAATGATGTTTCAGAGGTAAGGAATTATACGGTTTAGTCATCTATTGTCCAGGGTTTTAAGTTGATTGTCTCTCCAAAAATTGCGTGAAGTAATACTTGAACGCTCCCTTATAACACATGAGTAAGATATAATTAATTTGTAGTTATCTATTAAGAAGCTACTTACCCATGAAAAGTTATGTCATTTTATATTTTATAATTATTCATGTTCGTCTCTTTCTATCAAATTGTGTTTATGCTGTGATTAAAATGATTGATGTGTACTTTAGTTAAAATCAATGCAGTAAAACTGATTTTGTTTTTATGAATAACTTTTAAACATAATCTGTTTAAGCTCTAATTTTTAATCTTAGTTTTAAATATGTGTTTCTCAGTAAGTGAATTTTCAATTCTTATGAGAAATAAAGTTATTCTTAAACCTTAACATAATCTGAAAAATCTTTCTGTATAAGCAAGTGATCAAGCGATTGTGCCGTTATTCTCTTGATAAAAATACTTATTCAAGTTTCATGTTAAGCAAGAAGACCTTTAATTATATACTAAATTAGTGATACTTAGAAAAACAGATGATTTATGATGAAACTTTTTTTCAGAAAGTGAATGTAAGAAATAGAGAACAATTACCCGAGAGGCCTCAATGTGTTGAATGTGGGAAAGTGTTCAGTTCAAGAAAGACATATCGCTATCACTTGAAGTTAGTATTTTCTATTTATATTTACCATGCATGAGAACGAGGATTTTCAGTCAAAATTTATAATTACAAATATTTGTAACACTACTAACGAAAATACAGTGTAAACTCTTTATAACGCAACATTCATTCTCTATTACGAAGAAATATTTTCATATTTAGACATCGACAACATACTTCACAATATATTTTTGAAAATTTACTTTATGTTCACAAAAACGAACCGGATTTTGTCAAATTGTCTGATCTTCACTCCCGAAATACTAGGAACAAAAATAATTTAACAGTTCATGCTACTCGCCTTCATAGAATAAGCAACTCGTTCATGGGTCAATGTATACGCTTTTACAATAAACTTCCTATGGATGTTCGTAAACTTCCCCTTAAGAAATTTAAATTTTTTATTAAATCAAAATTATTAACTAAAGGATATTACAGGATATCCGATTATTTAAATGATAGAAACGCCTGGGATTGAGCTGCTCGCTTATACAGCTATCGCTTGTGTTTTTTTTTTAAGCTGTCTTTCACTTCTTTTTTTCTTTTTTTTTGCATGTTGTACATATTTACAATCTGACATGTCTTGTGCTTTTGCATATGCATTTTATTTTATTCTATTGACATGTTTGTGCTTAGTGCATATTCATTTTTTTACATTTTTTTTCTCTACATTACTGACATCTTTTGTGCTTAGTGCATATTCATTTTTCTTTTTCTACAATACTGACATGTTTTGTGCTTTTGCATACAATATTTTACACTTTGACATGCCAAGTGAATAATGTTTATATTACGATTATATTTTTCAATTTAATTATTTTTCCTTGCTTTAAGGTACACCTTAAATATACATTTTGTATCCATTGTAAGTGTAAACATTATGCGGGTATATCATAAACTCTTTTGCTTGATTTATAATTTGATACATTTTAGTCTATAGTTATTTTGGGCTGGCGATCTGAGTGAGTTGTTGCCCCACATATCTTTATGGTGCCTCTGGCGGTATTGTTGTGTACCGGGTTGTGCAGCTCCCTCAAAAATGGTTGAGCTGCATGAGCTATTCGGGGCATGCTAGCCGTCTGCTGGCGCAGGCTTGCTCAGATCGATCTGGTTCTTTCTTCCAAAGACCAGTCCAGTAAATTACTCTGCATTTGTTTACACCAACTTATTAATTTATTATTGTATTATCTGGACTATAAAAGAGACTAAGACCCCCGAGTTTGTTTCGACATTTCTTCTCAGGGCAGTCAGTTAGGAAATGTCGACTTCATCTAGTTTAGGAAGACATTGTAAAAGTGATTTATATAGTCCTACTTGCAAGAATAAACTATTTCATTTCATTTCATACTTAAGTGTAATAGTTTTTATAATCAGCTGACAAAACTAAACTTTTGAGGTGCCGAAATTTCTAAAAAAAGACACCTCAGGTCATAAACAGTCTCGCCTTTGTTATTGTTAATTTCATTAACATGTGTGCCATTATTCTTAGATTACATTGGAGGAAATTTTGGTCTCAGTTACTAAACGGACCACTGTCACCTATCGTGTATTATCAGTAGTAAACAAACTTTGAAACTGTCAAGATGGCCAGTAAAAGCGTTATGTGTTTAGAATGGTTTACCTATTGATAGTAATAAAATTTGAAATTATTGTAATTGGTTAAATTTTCTATTTTTTCTATTCATTACCTCTAATGAACACTCCCTATAACGAAAGAAAATACTCGGTCCCTTCAAATTCGTTATAAAGAGTTAGTAGTTAAATTTTAATTGCGTTTCAATCAAGTAAATAGGTTCTAATAATGTTTGCAGTGTATTACATAAAGGCCAGAATCGTCACCCGTGTCCGAAATGCGGTAAAGTGTATCAATGGAAATCGAACCTGGGAAGACATATGCGAAGTCATAAGGTAAGATTTATACGCGATTCGTAAGAGAATCTGCGCCACTAATTCAAAATCCATCCCGTAGTGTCGTTTTAACTATAAGTATAGTGGTATAGTATTTAGCGTGTAATTACGAGTATAGAATAGGTTGTGTGTTTAATTCCCCACGAATATATTTTTTCTATGTGCGCAATGAACATTTGCGATAATGCCGTACGTAAGAGTACTTTTAGAGAGTGCAATTATGAATCATCATCATCAGACTCTTGTTTTATCCATTTCTGGATGTAGACCTCCACCTTCCTCCGGTACGCCCCGCACTGGGCCCTCTGTTTCGATGTCACTCCACCTAGTCGGTGGGCGGCCGCGCAGTCTTTTGTTCTGCCCATTTCTGTTCTGTTCCATGCAATGAGAAAAACCACTGGCGCTACATCGTTTATAGGTCTGGGCCTCAGATTCCTATATCTGTTTTATGATTTGTCAATCTAATAGGCAAGTAGGTGATCAGTCTTCTGTGCCTGACAGATTTCCTTCATCGTTTTTTAATTTACCCCTAGTACAAGTTTATTGTATGATTGGTGGCTTTATATTTATAGGCGCGTGAAAGTGGTGAATTGTATTGTGTGAAATGCGACAAGTCTTTTGCGTCTGTGGCGACGTACAGGCAGCATATACGGGTGTCCAGACGACACGTATCGGAAAGTGAATTTACGTGAGTATAAAACAAAAATAAATTGTAATTAAAAAAAAAAGTACACATGTCAAAAGTGAAACTTCTTTGTAAATTAATTATTACTAAGGTAAAAGCCCCAATAGATGATCATGTACCAGAATATGATCACTCCATGTATTTGTATATCTATATTCACAATGTATACGTGCTAATGATAATAGAAATAAATAAAAAATCTGCGTTTACTGCACAAGACGTTCTGCGACAGAATTGCTATCTAAATATATGAATACATCAACCAATAGCGTGTATTTATTCTCGATCTCCCTTTCTCTCTCTCAATCTTTCTCACTATAGCTCTCGCTCACCTCTCGCTCCATGGCACTCTGCGTGATGCGATGTTCGCTCTCTCTCACTTTCTCACTTGCTACTCCATAGCTATTTGCTCCATGCTACGTTCGCCCTTTCTCACTCTCTCAATAGGTCTCTCCCTTTTCTTTCTTCCACAAAAACGCTGCACATCTTCGTGACGCTATTATTATATAAAAATTTTAGTTTCACATGCGACGAATGCGGAAAGAAGTTTGTGAGCAAGACACGCTTGCGTGACCATGTTGATTGGGAACATCTAAACAAGATTAAATTCCGCTGTCAGCTGTGTAATAAGGTAAGTTACTTTTAGCTGCTTTTTTTTAATTTGGAAATAATATACAGTAGAAAACATGAACGAAATCTTCCCGTGTCGATTCTGTGTGTATGAACGCGATATATTCAAAATATGTCTAGACTAAGGGGCCTTTCAAGTTTAAATGCATTTAGATTCCTACAAAAAAATAATACGTTTATGTACTATTATTTTCGAGAGCTTTGATTACTTTTGCTAACAAGAGGGGGGGAAATAAATTGCAGTAAATCTGCTTACGTGATACTTGAACCGCCCTTTGTGTATGATTATATATTCATTTAAATATAATAATTATTAATAAAGCTGTCTAAAATATCCAACAACGAAGCTAAAGCTAGTTTCCTATTTTTTTACTAAACCTAGTCAAAGATCATAAGACTGAAATGTTATATTAACCTTATCAAAATCCATTCAGCCGTTTAAATGCCACACGTCGCTATACGTACACCTTCAGAACGTGCACAGGAATAAAGAAAGGAGAGACAACTTGTGCCATGTCTGTGGGAAATCATATCAGGTATTGTTATCGATCAGAAATTACAAAAGATTTCTACTCTTGAAACATTCATACACATTACCAAAGATACACACACTTGAAATTTTATATAGAAATTATTTTATTTTCTTGTCCAAGGACATGTTTCGTATATGCCTTCTCCAAGTGGCTCTATATTAAGCATTTTTCTCCCAATCTTCACCAAATTCTTTAAGCACAGCAGCCCACCGTGCATGAGGGCGACCTCTCTTTCTTTCCCTGGTTGCCTTTTCCACTTTAATTTTATTTATGACTGTATAATTTAACATAACTTTTATAAAGCCTTAAAAATAGTGTCTAAAAAATAAAATGGTATTTTAACAACTAATCAATAATAATTTTAAAATAATGTTTTTCATATTTATATCGATTTATAATCCACCACCAAGTGACAAAGATTGGGGCCTCATAGCCTAGCGGTCTTATTAAGTGGCAGCTAGGAGAGGATTACCGGGTTCGATTCCCTGTTCGAGGGCAAGTTTTAATTTAATTTAAATTTGTTCTCGGCCTTTGGAAGGGTTGTGCGGTACTTAAACCGTACATGGAGGACACGGTCGAATTTCTAAGGCACGCACAAATATAAAAAAATCTTATACTTGACGCTGGCTAATGCACAAACCGTGCCAGAGCCATAAAAAATAGTGACAAAGATATTTCTTCTGACAACTGTCAATCTATAGAATTAATGATAGTCTGTGCTTAATGCACATAACGTGCGTTTTCCAATTACAGAGAATTTTTCGACTCAGTGCCGCACAATGCCGCATAATGCTGAAGCTTAATTGGAACGTGAATTAGTTTTCAAATGCATCAGCAGAGTGCGCTAAGTCAGTGTTGACAAAAAATGGTCTGAATAGAGTTAGCAACCTCATTAATGTATAAATAATGTGGTAAACAATAATAATTGGTTGAAAACTATTTCCGCTTATTTTAAGTAATTTGGATTTTGATTATTTCATTAATATTTTTTTACTGAAATAAGAGAAAACCTTTAAAGAATATAAGGTTTTAACAAGCTAAATTAACAGTAAAATATTTAGTTTCATGTAAGAAGTTTACATCATTTACGTTTTGAGTAATATTTTTTAATGATTTCTAAAAAAATATATACTTTTTCAAAACCATTGCAATTTTTTCTAAAGTATAATCCTGTAAAGTAAATTTGTTTACAGATCCGAATTTTAAAATAAAATTGTATTCATATTTTAAATGTGGAATATAAAAAAAGTAACTATTTATAACTTCATCCATACTAATATTTATTTTTTTAGCAGTTTGAAATAACTTTAATTATTTTCAAAATCTACGACGAAACGAAAGCCTTACAAATTTTTCAACAATAAATAATATTTACTAACGAAAATTTCGATAAATGCCAACTTAAAGAAAAATACTGGTCAATTTTCTGTCACTGTGTTGGTATTGTTTGCGAGAGCATTCGTTTTGAGAGTGCTCAATTGTGCGAAGCGTTGCTGTAGTTGGAACACTCAACGTTGAGCATTATGCCGCAAAATGCGCTCTAGTGCTGTAATTGGAAAACGCACAACATAATTATGACTATTGATTTCTGTAGTCTGTGCATTCTAGTACCAATAACCTAGAAGTTCAAAATGTAACTAAGCCATGGGCACATTTGGCTGACTTTATTAACTCGTATGGGAATCGGATATTCGGTTCAATTAATGAAAAACTTCAGCAGGAGCCGTGTTGGCCTAGAGGCTGCAGCGTGTGACTCTCACCCTGAGGTCGTTGGTTCGATGCCGGCTGTGCACCAATTGATTTTCGGTCTATATGCGCATTTAACATTCGCTCGAACGGTGAAGGAAAACATCTGCTTGCCTTAGACCCTGATTTTTATAAGTGCAATAACTAGGATGCCTTTAGCGCCAATAACTAGGATGCCTTTAGCGCCCATATAAACAAAAATGTAATATTAATACAGAATGCAGCGAAATTAAAATACCACATAGTGGCGATGCATACGAGTGAGACGCCATATCAGTGCGCCGACTGCGACGCGGCCTTTGGGTGGTACTCCTCGTTGTACCGGCACATCCGGGAAGTGCATTACAAGGTGGGTTTGGGGCAAATACAAGGAAAAAATTTATTATCTTTTTCACGTTTTAGTGAATCAATTAGATCTCAACAAAGTGTTGGGATCTTTAGCGAAACAATACAAGAAATCGTTTGTTGAAGAGTACAATAGATTGATGTATCTATTCACAATAAAAAATGTTACCTGTTTTTGTACTTGAATTTGAATCCAAGACCTCAGCGACATAATTATTAATATCGGGTTTGACGGTTTAGTGTATGTAAATATCCTATAAAGAATATAAGTGTAACTGACCTTTTAGACATTATCGGAAAAGAGAATGTTATGTTACAATTTATGAGTGTGTGTATAACTAAAGGGCTCATTTTGGCTTCAAATGTGCGATGATTGCTAACAATTGATTTACGCTTAACTAATATATATATATATATGTAACTTAACTTATGTTAGGTTACATTATTCATGTTTCAATGTTTTTTTAGATGAAAATTCAAGCAAAGAAAAGTAAGAAGGATAAAAAATTACAGTTGCAAGAATTGATCCCGCTACCCTCGGAACCGCCGGGACCTTAGTTCTTTACCTTCGTCCGCTATAGTCTGTTGTGATAAAGTTATTTTGATTTTTCATTACAAAACTAGTATTATTTCTATACGATACATAAAATGTCAGTATTTCCAAAATTTATTTTGAAGTAATTTTGTTTGTTACAACATAACATGCAGTTCACTGTCGTGATTCGAACTTAAGACCTCAGTAATGAGAATCGACACTTCTTAAACAGTAAAAACAAATTTCTTTGTTCAATCGCAAATATTTTTTCCAGTTTTGGTTAATACAGTATTAATTTAGTTTATCTTTGCACCCTTTTATTTTAATCCTGAGTGAGACACTTGTGATATTTGAAGATCTTAAATAAAAATTTGATTAGAAATATGTGTTTTATTACAAATAACGGAAAATCCCCGAGTATAAAAGAGGAGGAAATAAATATAATCTAAACATAAATTTAAAATCGTTTTTTTATAGTTGAGTGTGATAGTGTCACTATCAATGCTAAATCTCAAAATTCGACATCTGTCAGGCGCAAAAGGTTGATCATCTAGTTGACCATAAAAACTATTTATTTTTCGAAGCAAGAGTTCCCACGCTTTAAAAAATAAACCAAGTAAATACATAGTTCAATAATTCAAGTTAGTAGATGTGCACAATAAAACCACTCAATTGCTAGATATACTCAATTTATTTATACTGAATCATACATTTTCCTAATAATTCCTAACAATTCTTGTAAATTTAACCCAGTTTTCGCCGAAATTCCAATGACATCTAATTTCTCCCTAATTTTGGGGAGAGTTTTTTTAACTTCAGGGAGGTCTATTTTGTTGATGACAACACACCGTTGTCTTTCGTTCAAACTGACATTATATTGAGTGAGCTCGTAGTTCAATGCATTATATTGTTCAAGTGGATCATTGCTTCCATCTAGGAGAAAAATTAGACCCTTACATCTTTCAATGTGTTGTAAGAATTGTATACCTGCAAAGCAATTATATAGAGAAATTAAATTTATATACAGTGTGAACTCTATATAGGGACTGTGCATATTTGGATGTTACAATAAGTTGTCGTTAGGAAATGGAAAGAAGACAAATCTGTATTTAGGAAAAAAAAATTATTTCAGACTAGCATTGGTAATTACATAAAAAAATAATTCTTATTTGAACGCTATCGCGTATTGTCTTTTGCTACACCAGTAATTATGTTCTATTTTTTAATTTATTTTATTCATATCTTACGATATTGAGGGATCTTCGTGATAAAGCACGTGCAAGCAATCCCAATTTGTAAACAGAATAACGGATTTCTTAAAAAGTTCGGGACGTATACGAATGATGCCGACAGTCGAGTAGACCAGCGACTAGCGTAATAAGTTAGGACAATAAAGCGACAAAACAACATACAGAGCTCCGCAGTCTAAACCAACCAAAGTCAAATGGTTTCCACGCTTTAGAGAGTTTCGTTAAATAGAGGGTCGTAACATGGAGTAAACACTATACTGGACAAATAATTAATTCTTATCAGACATAACATACCTAATCCCTTGTTTTTATGAGAACCGGGAATGAGTCCCGGTAAATCTGCGATTGCTACTTGTTCGTAATCATCATATGGTATCATTCCTGTAACATATAAAAATAACTAAGTGTTTCATTCTCACCAAACAAATAAATTTTATATAAAAATTTGATTATATATTCCTTTGGTGGAATTTTATATAGGCATCTGTTTCGCTGTGATTTGCTTTAATATAAACTATACAGTAGTCTTGGTTGTATAGATAAACTCGGAGTGCTTACATAGCTTAAACTATTCGTTGGTTAAATAACCTGGTAAGTATTCTTAATCTGAGTACTTCTTTCCATTCTGAGTAATAAATAAATTATATACATATATAATTTTTTTGATGTAATAAATATAGTTATCCACTAAATAAGTTTTTAACTGTGTAGCCATTGCCAATATCCAGAAGTCTATCTGGAAGACATGCTGAATTTTACTCTTACCTATGTGTGGTCTTAGTGTAGTAAACGGGTATGGCGCTACAGTGGGTCTTGCCCTTGTCACTGCTCGTAATAAAGTACTCTTTCCAGCATTTGGGAAGCCTATAAGTCCCACATGGGCCATTGATCGTACTTCCAGGAAATATTGGACAGTCTCACCTATGGCTCCATATTCAGCTACATTTGGAGCCTGTGAATTTAAGTTAATCTCTTGTTAATACTGTTTGTATTTTAAATACATTAAGCTATTGTAAACAGAAGTTTTTAATATGTTTAAATTTAAAAGTTAGACTGAGGGCATTTTGACTCAATATTTTAAGAAAATTTGGGATGTGGAGTATCTGGTAACTGAAATATAAAGTTATGCTAAAACTTGTAATAAATGTGGGCACTTAAAAGGCCCACAGCATTCTTTATAAGTATGTATACGGCTTCTAATATTATATCTATACTTTTATGGATTTTAAACAAAACTAAGAATACCTGTTCTGTATCTGTCAAAAAGAACTTATTTCCTCTGCCTCCAGCTCCACCTCTAGCAGCAATAAACATGGCTCCTTCTTGTTCTAAGTCACAAACGACACATCCATTGCTATCTCTTATTAGAGTACCTGTAATGAAATTTTACATAAAAATTAAACATATAAAACTAACTCTATTTGTATAACACAAGCCACAAGTCAGCTTACTTTGTTCTATAATAATAAAACACAATTATGGTGAGTTAGTAAAGCACAATAAATTCTACTTGAAATTTTTGTTTAAAATAAAGTTTGATACATTGAAATAAGTCCTTTACTGGGATACTTGGACTATACTGGGATGTAGAGTGCAGCACTAGTCCTGGACCTGTTCATTATTTAAAAACCTTACCTATAGGTACGCTTATAATAACATGTTGGGCATTCTTGCCACTGCAGTCTTTATCGTATCCCTTCTCTCCATCTTTAGCTGTTATGACTGAAGAACAATGATTTAAACTTTTCTTTGTATGAGTTGCCTGAAAATGCGCACCATTATTACCAAGGGATAAATCAATTATACAAAAAGTATTTGTTTAAATCTGAACAAGATGTTGAATCTTTTATGTATATTTCCTTTCTATCTCTACCTGAAATATAACGTGACCTCCATGCCCACCATCTCCCCCATTAGGCCCAGCATATTCCTTGCACCATGAAGACAGGAAAGATATGCAACCATCGCCACCCTTACCCGCTACAGCTCGTACTCTACACGAATCTACATAAAATTGCACTGTTGTCCGAGTTGACTTTGGCTTCAAACTACGTAAAGCTTTGGGTTGGTAGTCGCAATAATTGCGAATTTGTTTCGTTGATAATTTTAAGTGGCGAAAAACAAACGATAGACTCATTTTTAATTGTAAAATACATTTTTGGGGTTATGTTTGTTTTGACTTAGAAATTATTGCCATTGTCGTCTGTCACAAACATATTATAACTGTCATTGTCAAATATTGACATACGTCAATAATCCTACTTAGATTACCTAACAAACCATATTATCGATTCATTTTGGATTTTAGTTTAAAATAAAACACAAAATAAAAATAGAGTTTTAATCTGTAGGAACTTCGATCCAATTTGAGTTTGGCTGGGCGCGGCTACGGTTTACCTGAAAATAAAGCAGGAATTAAAGGATTGGTAATACTTGTATGGGGCCTTTCAAGTATCAAGTAAGCACTAAAATATTTATATATTATATTTGTAGCATTTTGCTTACGTTATATTTGAACGGCCCATTTAAGCTAGAATGAAAAGGTGATTAATGTTTTTATCAAAATATATGTCTTACCTTATGTTTTAAATGTACGAGCTTATTGTGGTTATAGAGGGCGCTCTCGTAGCCAAAGGCAGCGGGACATTTCGTACAACGGAACGGACGCTCACCGCTGTGCATGCGCAAGTGGCCTTCTAGACTTTTCTTTGTCTAAAATGTATAATAACGAATAAATACTTTTAATTACCTAATGATTATTTAAAGAATTCTTTAACAAGATAAAAACGCATTAAATTATTAAACTCATATTAACTGAGTAAAAGTACTATTTTTTTGGATTATGGTTTTTCACCATATAATATATTGTTACTTTTGTGTTAAATTTGATTATTTAATCATGATGAGGTATCTAGAGGGCCACCAGCTGATTAGTCCTTCCAGAAACTCGCGAGCCCTCTGGCATTGAGACTGTCCATGGGTGGCGGTATAAAATCAGGTGCTTTGTTCTATAAAAAAATATATATACGGAGTAATACTCGCAGTATAAGCCTTCCCGCACATATCACACACGTGATTCCGTGACGTCACGTGTTGCGCGTGAATCGCTCGACGGTGGGACCTCAGTACAGCACGGGACGAACACGCCTGTTAAATATAGTTTAACTTTATGTATGACAAATGAAGGGACTGCGCATCCCGCTATAGTTGGCGTAATAAGGGAAGAAAAATCACGTAAAATTTTGTCGATTCAGGGAATTTGACGTTGAATCTATATGGCTATATGGATGACGTTATATGGAATTCACGCATTTATTCTAAAGAAATTTATTAAAAACCGTTTATTGATTTCGGATTTCAATTAACGCTCTAGAAACATGTCTGTCTTTGGCGTATTTAAGGTAATTTTATACTTTTAAGGTTAGTTATTTTTACTTTTTAACTAATCCATTTATTGTTTGACTTCATTCACTGGTGGCAAATAAGTTTATGAATCATATAAATCATTTTGATATTGTTTTGATATTTTATTAGCCTTTTCTTTAATTTGATGGTTTTACTTACAAAGGTGCACCCAGTGACGGGACATTGTATGTGTGTTATCTTTAAATGCACCGCCATGTTGTGTTCTTCAAGTCGCTTTGCCTTTACAAATTTTTTATCGCACAATTTGCAAGCGTATCTAAAAAAATAATATATTCCTATTTTTATATTAATTTATATTTAGTTCACACATAATCCTATTTTTGAAATTGTTAAAAAATTTTGATTTTTGAAATAGAATTTTTATGTTATAATAATATAAAGAGGCGTTAGCAAGAAACAAATGGAGAAAGAAAAGAAGTTTGGAAAAAAATCTGGAAGTATTTACCCGTGAGGAATTTTAGACAAGAGCGTAACTAAAAAAATATAACAAAATTTAAACTATATTGTACACAATTGCATTTATTAATGTATAGTAGCAGCAGGCTCATCTGGTGTTACATACATGATACCAGCTACGGCACTCTCAATGCCAGAGGGCTCACGAGTGCGTAGCCGGCCTGTTAAGACTTGGTACGCTCTTTTTTGAAAGACCCTAAGTCTAATAGGTTCAGAAATACTTCAGTGGCAATAATATTAAACCATTACCAGTTAAACTTACTTGAGCTTATCTGGATCTATATGCTTGAGGTTGTACTTCATATGTTGGTTGTATGACATTTGATTCTTGAACGTCATGTCGCACTGGAATATTATTCCACCATTAATTCAACACTTTAAACTGTTGTTAACGTTTAATCTTGGATTTAGGAGTACTTTATATATATAGAGTATAGACAATAACAATGTTTATGATAGAACATAGTTTCTATAACAGTTTATATACCTGATAACAATACATATAGGCCGGCGACTGATGCGTGACTAGGTGTATTTCCATCGCCTTCTTAAATAGAAACTGCTTCCCACACTCACTACACGAATATTCTTTTACACCACTGTGGATACTATAAAGAAATATAAAAAATTTGTGTGACAAAAAATTCACACTTTCAAAATTAAATAATAAATCAAATATTCAAGTAACTTCAAATATGAACATGTCAAATAGTATAGTTTTGGAACCCAAATCTAAAGATCTTGATGAAATTTGGACTGTTTTCTAAGTTAGAAGTTTAGTTATGACTTTTAGTTAAATTATGGCAGGTTAAATTAACTTGCTTTTATTCCAAAAAATACACACTTACAACAAATGTTTCCTGAGAGATGTCTTATCCCGAAATACTTTATCACAAAGTTCGCATTTATGCTGACCGGAGTGGGCCTTTTTGATGTGATTTCGTAGTTTGCCTAATGTCCTGTAATTAAAGTTTTTTATCACTAAATAATTTTTATGATTTACTACACGCAGAACATCTGGCACCTGCGTGGAATGTGCTTCCCCACCCACAACACCCCACCGCCTACCGCTCTCGCCCTTGACGCGGCTGTACGATCGGTAAATTAAATACTACCGTTACGCGCTTTAAAACTTATGGTTTATTAACCTATGGATATAGAACTGTTACCAAAAAATATGTCAACATTTAACCCCCTTATTGATAAACGTTGATATTATAAATAATCAATAGAGACCTACTATGGCGAGTGTCGAGGGGCCTTAAAGATTACTTAAATTTTTGTACGTAGTTACTAGTTAGTACATCACTATGCCGTCATTACAGCGAGGTGCCTAGTTAAATTCTGCGTGTAGTATGATTGCTTATAGGTGTAATAATAAGTATATAAAAATAAAAAACTAGACTCCTTAGAGCAATATTTTTTAAAATTTCAATTCTGATTATTCTTTGACGACAGGGCTTCGGGCCGGTCTGTTGTTATCAACAGTTACCAGTATAGACAATCCTCTAAGTAAAGTTATACCGCGTGTTAAATGCGACAACCGCCATCTAGTGATCGATATGAAAATTAACTAATTCATTACACAGTCCGCGCGGAAGAAGTGAAACTTCGTAATGTGGAAATGAAAAAGGAAGCATTCACTCTCGCTCGCACTTTCTATTCCCCCTCTCCACGCGTTAAATGTTTAACGCAACCTTGTTGGGAGTTGCATTAGAAGTTTCACTTCATAAAAACACTAAAGTGTCATCAGCCTAACTGTAAGTGTTAACACGTAACTTTATTACTGAGAATATTATTAATTATTTAAATTTGTTTAAAAATTCGCGTAAACCAAAGACAATAGAACAGACTCACGTGTCCCGATGTCCGCACATATTGCACGTGTGGGTTGGCGTCGGTCCCGCGTGATGTCTGTGGACGTGATCCGCTGCTACGCTCGCACGGGACCAACATCCGCCGCATACAACGCAACGCCATCTATAAATTTCGTTGCAATAAGGGGCAAATTTAATGGCGCCTAAAAATCTTTTAACCCGGACAAGCGTATTACCGCCGATAGGTGACCGTGGTATTTGTTAATAATAATAACAGTTTTCTCAGAAGAACGGCATGTGGTAAGAGGAACCGAAACTGGTGCCCAAGATACCTACGCAAAAAAAGAAATCAATTTAGAAGGTTGATTTAGAGATTAAAGAAACAGCAGGTACATGGCATAGTGGCACAGTGCAGACAGATATGGCGGGATTTGGAGGAGTCCTTTGACAATAAAGAACACACAGACCTAAAGAGAATGAGACGATAGAAATACCAGATAAAAAGTATCTAATAAAAGACTTTTATTTTTGAAGTGAAACTTCTTTATCGAGGTTGGAAAAAAATTTAGTGTAACATTTTTTCGTTACGCGTCACATATTTCGGTTACGCGCCATGTTGCTTTTTGAAGTCAAACTTCTTTATCGGTGTTGGAATGAAACTTCTTTATCGACGTATGGGAGAAATTTTGTAGCAAATCGTCACGTTTTTCAATGATAGTAATAACTCTATTACAATTAATGAAATTCTATAATAATCTTCGTAGTAATAAGGTAAAATGAAATATTTGTATTCATGTCTATGATAATAAAAGCCTTTTGTTAAACTTTATCTAATTTAACGAATTTCTGTAAAGTTGCATATAGTAGATCATTTTTTCGAAAAATAAGATCATAAAGAAGTTTCACTTCTTACGTGTGTACACCTAGTACACGCACAATTTATTTTACATAGCAAACAATGTCACCAAACAGGAAAAAAGAAGACAATGAATGTGCATGAAATGCAATGAATAGGCGGCCTAAGTGCTAATACAGTACAAATACTTGTCCAATATTTTTTAAATAAACCAACAAAATAGATATTGTCTCTTTCTATTTTACACAAAATGAAATCCAATGAAGCAGGATAAATAAAAGTATTTCGTAAATTGAGGTTTGACCTTTGACAAGTGCGAAAAGTATTTTGACAGTTGACATGCAAAGGCATTAACGTGTACCGTCAACGTCAAGCGTTTTGTATCACTTCCGCATTTTTTTTTAATGGCTCTGGCACGGTTTGTGCATTAGCCAGTGTCAAGTATAGGATTTTTTATAATTCGTGCTTGTCTTTAGAAATTCGACCGTGTCCTCCATGTACGGTTTAAGCACTCGCCCGGTACCGCACAACCCTCCCAAAGGCCGAGAACAAATTTAAATTAAAACTTGCCCTCGAACCGGGAATCGAACCCGGTACCCCTCACCTAGCTGCCACTTAATAAGACCGCTAGGCTATGAGGTCCCTTCCGCATTTTAAATGTATTACATACTGACTTATAGACGTCAAAAATATCTAAATTAACTCTCCAGCATTCATAATTGTTACCAATGATATGAAAAATAAAAACCTACCTCACTCGATGTCTTCGCCGATGTGAGGCCAGCGCCTGTTTGTCTTTACATTGAATATGACACGAGTCACATTCCACACTACCCTCGCACTGAAAATATAACGTTGTAAAAATAATTATAAATAGCAATGGTAAGTATAAATAATATTTATTTCCAGTTGGAAGTGGCTCTTTCCTACGACTTTGCATAATAGAAAAACAATTGGTTCGTGCTAGATTATAATTTATTTATATTTTTAGAACAAGGAGCAAACGGGCAGGAGGCGCATCGGGTGTTAAGCGATACCGCCTTTTATGGATACTCTAAATGCCAGAGTGCTCGCGAGTGGGTTGCCGTCTTTTAGGAATTGCAACGCTCTTAGGGAATGGAAGTCAAATTGGTTCGGAAATACTTCCCTACTTAAAGGCTAAGTTATGGAACGACGAACGTCGAGGTGATACGGGTGGAATTTGGTATTATAATTTTAATTTATAAATTTTTGCAACAAAATTATCGCTATATAAAATAAATATTGTTGCTTATTTAGAACTATTTTTGGATGGTTAAGTGAAAGAGGAGAAGTAACTATGTAATTTGAAAATGGCGACCAATGTCAAATGTCAATTTGACAGTTAACAAAAATGAATGCACAGAGGTCTCACCGGTTGATGTTTCTTCATATGTTCTTCTAGTTTACAAGCATGGTTAAATCCGAGTGCACATTGGTGGCATTTGTGGGCGTGTCGCATGAATTTTGGATTCTGCAACGTCGCTTGACGCTCACTTTCCACCTGAAAGCGTTCAACAGATTTTAACCGACTTCAGAAAACAGAAGGTTACGAATTCAACAAATAGTTTTTTAACATAACTAAATTTATGTTCATGGCTTTACATTTTGTTACCATAACAAATGATAAATATGTTGATATTATGACATGACAACACCAATTATGTGGTAAAAGTAAACTTATAAAATGTACCTCTTCCCAACTAAGCAACACCATTTCAAGGTGATCACCATTAACATTCAGTTGTTGAAGCTTTTTCATCACTCGAGCATTCATCACCACACCAGATGCCTTCTCTCGTCTCTTGGCTATAATATAAATCTATTCTTACAAAAATAAAATTATTCACGCATTACATATAGGAACATGTACATTTTATTAATGTACATTAAAAACAAAACTGTTTAAATGTGTGTAATTTTCGCCTTGAGTAAATGGTCAACAAATAAATCTATCAGAAATTAAATAAATATTATGATAAAATTATTATTCTTTAATTTAGTAAAAAGTTACTAAGAATTTTTTATATTATAAAAGATTTTCTATTACGAAATTCTTTTTTTCCTTACTATGGTTACTTAGTTACTTTGTTTTCTATTTGCTTAGATTGTGCAACAAAATATAATAAAAACAGTGTTCAGAATTGCACCCCAAATCACTAGTCAACACTTGTTACTAAGGCGAAACACGACTCACTCTCTTTCTTCATTTTCTCCTTTGTTTTTATCTTTTTATTCCGCAATGGTTCCTCATCTGATTCATCAAACTCTTCAAGAGTCTTCACAATTTTTTCATCTACCTGAAATTGAGTTGAAAATCATGTTCGACTGTGAGTAATAAGTTTTAAATTACAGAAGACAATTTTCTTTTTTTACTTAACTGATAATTTCTTAAAAACTAAATTTTTAAAGGTTGCGAGTGACATGTCTGTTCCTATGCCTGCTAAGCAATGGCTATAAATTTAGATATTCATGCAAACTGGATTCATGGTAGAGTGAGTGAGAAATATTTGTAAAAGACCCTAAGTAGCCTTAAGAGCAGTGTTGGCCTAGTACCTTCAGCGTGCGACTCTCATCTCTGAGGTCGTAGGTTCGATCTCCGGCTGTGAACCTTCTTTGCATGTGCTTTAACATTTGCTCGAACGGACGAACATCGTGAGGAAACTGACATGTCATAGACGACCTAAAAAGTCAACGGCGTGTGTCAGGCACAGGAGGCTAATCACCTACTTGCCAATAAGATTTAAAAATGATCATGAAACAGATTCAGAAATCTGAGACCACGACTTAAAGAGGTTGTAGCGCCACTGTTTTTTTTAAAGTAGCCTTAATAAAAAACAATTTAACATTCTTTATTTAAGCATTGATAGACTGCTGGTTCACCATAGTGGCAAACAGTGTCATTGGTGGTACATGCGGAATTCAGTGGTATATCTCTTTTTCTTATGACGAAATGCAGGTGCAGGAATTTTATAACTGAACTATATACTCCTCTGAACTTCAAGAGCATATTTTTATATCAAGCAGCTTTTTATTATTGGTGAACAAAATCTAGTTGTATTTAGAAATCAGACAAGAAATATACTTACACTGTAGAAAACATCAGTACAATCTGCATCTACATAATCAAATTCAGTCTCATAATTATTATGGCTAAAAAATTCACACTTTACATCATTATTTCTATGTAAATCAGTTTCGCTATTAAATCCATTATTGTTATAAAAATTATGTGTAATATTGTGGTTTGAAAAATCTTGCATTCCTAGTGACTTATACAGAGATTCATCTTCAGTTTTAAAGTCTTTGCTTTCTATTTCATGACTTGAATAATCAATTTTGAGGCATTTAGTTTGCTTTAATTTAGATAGCGAGTGGTTTTCCACCTGTAATAGTATAATTATTGTTAATAAAATAATACTTAATATATTGAGAAGTAGAACACTTAGTAATTATATAAAAGATGGTAAAATGCTATGTAAGTAAATATTATTGACTTCATTACGCTAGAAACACTACATATAATTTATGTATAGTTAAAATAATTTTGAGTCATACTGAACTGAGAATAATAAGTCTAAAAATGAATGTATTAAAGCACAATCCCACTATGCTAAATTGTATTCAGAGGCAAGACTAAGGGTAAGCAATAAGTCTGTTTTCTATAAGTTAAAAACTGGATTTGGAAATACTTGTGATACTAAAATTAGTCTTGCACTTTAAACAATAATATCTAAGTAGCAGAGTTACAGAGAGAAACATATATATACTAACCAAGTCTAGCATACAGTTCTGTGCTTTTTTAATTTGTTTTTTAAACCTCTCTACCTTTCTTAACACAGCACAGCATTCCCAACACATGTTTATGGTCTTCATATTAAGCTATAATTGTACAATTTGGGATTAACACAATAATATTTAAACAGTCAAGTATACATTCATGGGCTTAGTATTGTAGGCTTTCCATTGCTAGCTAAATAGTGATTATTTCAGTTTTAATGTATAGTTAAAGCTTAGAAAAAGATTTCTAGCTCTTTTTGACTTTAGAATCATCTTTTACCTCGCCTAATTATTAGAAATGCGAGAGTTTAAGCCTTCAGCCTTTGTACTATGAGTTCCATTTTAAATTCATGGTATTGTTTATTAAAAACAAGTTTACAAAATTACCGGAGTTCCAAGAAGTTGGGAGTATAAATACAAAAATTCATAGCTAAAACTTGTTAGGACACGATCTTTACTTAAACATCCATCACATATATTTGTTACAACGGAGTTTTCATTCATATTGACTAAAATTCTTATAAAGGAAACAAGAATAATTATTTCGAAGATTTTATGCAGAAACTTGGCACTCGGCAGTTGGCACTTGGCAGTAAAACATAAATAGTTTGTTGTTGTTTCATGTTTGTTTGACGTTTGTCATTTGCCATTCTGATAATTTACAGCTTTGATAAAATAACTTCTAAACATATCTACTATGTGGTGTGGATTCCGTCGTTGCGGGTATAAGTGCAAACAGTGTTTCGGATACAGTGTCGGAACACGTGCAAACAGTGTTTCGGATATCATTATTTAGTATTTTCTATTTTTTCTCGTAGTTTAATGAATATAAGTTGACTTATCCTATTGGTGGTGGTTAATTAATAACATCAACTAATTACGTAAGTTATTTTTATTTATTTGTTATATTTCTCCCTTTACCTTGTTATATTTTTGGTAGTTTATAATGGAGAAACGCCCTCCAGACCCCCCCTGATCCTCCGGATAGGGTCTCTTCTCCGGTGGAATCAATGGATTTATCCACCCCACTGTTGCCCCAACCTGGTGTCAAGCGCAGACTTGATACTGTCAATGAATCTTTAGTGGAACCTTCCAAAAAACCAATGACTGATGTCCGGTCATCTGTTGATGACGTCAACCCAGGATTTTACTCCCATCCATCTCTCACTGGCTCTCCCAAGTCATACCTTGTCAATGACAAGGGCCCTTTTTTTAGTCCATGTTTCTTGCCCTGAATCTGACCCATCCGCCGGTACATCAATCCGCCCAATTAAATTTGGTCACTTCTTGGTAAAAAATAAAGTAAGTAACATTGTTCGTGATGGTGTTAAAAGAGTGGGACGTAACAGAATATCTGTTGAGTTTAAGTCGGGTTTAGATGCTAATAATTTTGTGTCTAATCCCATTATACCTTCCAGCAATTATTCTGTTACGATTCCTAATTACAATGTTTCCCGTATGGGTCTTGTGAGAGGTGTCCCAGCTGATTGGTCGATGCAAGAATTTGTCGAAACCTTGGAAATTCCTGAAGGTATTGGTATAGTCCTCAAGGCCAGACGCCTAAACCGCAAGACAAACTCCGATGGTCAAATTAATTGGATCCCAACGCAAACCGCTGTTCTAACTTTTCAAGGTCAAACCCTTCCGGAGAGAATATTCTCTTGTCATAGTTCCCTCCGCGTTGAAACGTACCAACTTCCAACAATCCAGTGTCGAAACTGTTGTAGGTTTGGGCACGTAAAATCACAATGCCGATCTAAGCCTAGGTGTTTTCGTTGTACACTAGCCCATTCTGGTGATGATTGTAATATCCCTGAATCAGAGTCACTATGTTTATTTTGTACTGCCTCGCACTATGCGACCAACAAAGCTTGTCCTGAGCATAATCGACAAAAAAACATAAAGAGTTGTATGTCTCAGGAGAGCATTTCTTATCTCGAAGCATCGGCTCGGTTTAGACCTATCAGTGGCAAAACTTTTGCAGACTCTGTTAAAACAACGCCCTCCCCTTCATTCAGTTTATCCCAGCCCATTATTATACCTTCCCAAGTTTCCCGTCAGACAACATCATACAGGAAAACGGTATTTCTCCCTCCTCGCTCTAGGCCAACATCAGGAAAATCCTTTGATAAGGCGGCCCATGAGGCCATTACTTCCAATTTACCCTCCTCTTTACCCAATGGTTGTGCCGTAAGCTCCCCAACCCTTATCAACAATGAAGTCTCCCCAAATGAAAATCTTCTTGACTGCTTATGGGCAGTCATTTGTAACATGCTATCTAAATATGATGACATCCCCATACCGTCCCACGTTGCCCAAAAATTAATTTGCTCCACTCATTCGTCACCAAAAATGGCGAATCTAGTAATCCAGTGGAATTGTAACAGTATTCGCAGTAAAAAATCCGAATTAACCTTTCTCATCAATAAATTCGCTCCATCTATTCTAGCCATTTCGGAGACTTGGTTATTGCCGGGTTCCCGCTTTAGGGTTTCTGGGTATCGATGTCTCCGAGATGACAGGGATGATGGCTATGCTGGCTGTGCCTTTTTGGTCAGCCGATCCCTCACCTTCCACTCATTATCTCTTCCTCATTGTGATGGTATTAATGCTGTTGCTATGAGAGCTTTTAATATCTCGTTTATTTCTGTTTATATTCCCCACCCCCATATCGACCTCATTTCTGATATACGTTCTATTATCCTTTCGGTTCCTCCTCCTGTTGTCATGTTGGGTGATTTCATTGCCCACCATGTGTCTTGAATAATGGTTGTCCTACGAGAAGGAGTCTTCCATCTCAGAATCCCGCTAACGCAGTGGATTTATCACTTTGTTCTCCTGATCTTTTCCCTTTTCTATCCTGGCGTGTTTTTAAGAGCACTTGTGGGAGTGACCACTTCCCCATTTTAATTGATCTCCCAACCAATTTAAGGAGCGTTACTCGCCCTTCCCCTCTTTTAAAATTTAAACTGAATCAGGCCAATTGGTTAGACTTTTCATCTTCTATTGACTCTAAGATAGCTGCGCTCCCCGCAGTTTCTGTTGAAAACTGCCTATCTTCATACAATGATTTTGTCAACTCCCTCACCTCATCTGCCAGTTTACATATTCCACTCAAATCTTCTACACAAAGGAAAATTTCTCCTCCTTAGTGGGATTCCGAATGTACTGAGATGATTCGAAAAAGAAAAACGGCAGAAAGGTCATACAGTCTTTACATGACCTTGGAAAATTTTTTAGTCTACCAACAAGCTTCTGCAGCTGCTCGCAGACTTCTTAATAATAAGAAACGTCTTGGTTGGCATAAGTTCTGTGAGAGCATGTGCCCTGGTACCCCTTCGTCTGTTGTTTGGAGGCAGATCAGAAGATTCCGTTGTTCCCTCAATTCTTATGATGTCCCTTTTAATGATTCCCCTGGAGAAGATGGAATCCCTTACTCATTCCTCATAAATTCTTCATTAGGCACTAAGAGGTACTTTCTAGATTTAGTAAACTGTTTTTTCGATCTTGGAATTATTCCTGAATCGTGGAACAGACAAATCGTCATTCCGCTTCTAAAACCTGGCAAAGATCCATCAGATTTCTCTTCATACAGACCTATTGCTTTGTCTTCTACCCTTTTAAAAATTATGGAACATTTGATTAAAATTCGTTTAGAATGGTTTTGTGAAAGTAACAATATCTTTGCAAAATCCCAGTTTGGTTTCAGGAAAGGCTTAAGTACGATGGATAGCCTAAGTATAATAACGACCGACATTCGCATTGCTTTTAAAAAGAAACAGTTCCTGGTGGGTGTTTTCTTGGATATCGCATCTGCGTATGACCACGTGCTGGTTCCAGTGCTCAGGCAAAAAATGCTTCAGCTGAGTATTCCTGAGAAGTTGGTACGTTTTGTTTGCAATGCAGTTTCGAATCGTTATATTATTATAAGATCTCAAAATACGGAGCTGTCTCCTAGATCTATTTGGAGGGGCTTACCTCAAGGTTCTGTTTTGAGTCCCCTTCTGTACAACATTTACACCTATGACCTGGAGCTTGTTGTGAATTCCTTCTGTCAGATTCTTCAATACGCGGACGATGTAGCCTTATACTTTTCATCAAATTCTATTGAAGAGGCATCATCACGCCTAAATTCGGCTTTGGATTATTTGGGTGATTAGTTAAATGATCATGGTCTCTCTATTTCTGTGCCCAAATGTTCGGCAGTCACATTTACTACAAAATACAAGGTACCACGGTGTAACATTTCATATAAAGGGTCCTTGGTATCGTGTTGTAAGCAAGTAAAATTTTTAGGCCTTATTTTAGACTCAAAGTTAAACGGTGTTCCTCATTTTAACCATGTGATTAAAAAAGTGAGAAGGGTGTTAATGTTCTCCGTTCATTATCTGGTGTGAGGTGGGGAGCACACCCCTACTCGCAAAAGCTTTTATACAATGCTGTGGTACGAAGTCATTTTGATTATGGCACCTTCCTTTTAGATCCTGGCAACAAGCAAGCCCTTGATAAAATTTCCAAAATTCAATCGAAATCTTTACGCATCATCCTTGGTGCTATGAAATCCTCTCCCATCAATGCTCTCCAAATAGAATGTGTTGACCCCCTGTATTTACGTAGACAATTTTTAAGTGACCGCTTCTTCATCAAAGTCCTTCAATACTCTTCACATTCCATTTTGTCCAAATTACGTCGCTTATCTAATCTCACGATGCCATCTAGTACAGGTAATGTTCCATGCCTGTTATACAGTTTTAATAAACTTTCTCGTCTACCTAATCCTATTGAAAGTTTCCCTAGTAATCCCTTGTTTTTAAATAGTTATGAATCCCTCATTTTTGATCCTAAAATAATTTTAAACTTTGGAATTGAAAAAAATCCACCCAAGCTTCCACTTGTTTTCTGGAAAAAATTTCAAAAGACTGGCAGGGTTGGTTACCGATGTATACTGATGCTTCCAAGATTCCCAATAATGAGTACATCGGTGCGGCTGTATGGGTTCCTTCATTCAAAACAGTATTGAGCTTTAAACTTCCTCCATTGACCTCCGTTTTTTCAGGTGAAGCTTTTGCAATCCTAGAAGCGGTTTTGTATGCTGAGTCCCACAACCTAAATAAAGTTACAATTTTTTCCGATTCTCGCAGCTGTTTACAGGCAATTCTTTCCAATCCATTCAGGTCTAAAAAAAAACATAATACTATTCTAAAAATAAGAGAAGCTTTGTTTAGGTGTAGTAAAAAAGATATTCATATTGTACTTTTGTGGATACCTAGTCATTGTGGTATAGCGGGTAATGAAACTGCTGACTCTTGTGCAAAAGGTGCTATTTTCTGCGGATCTTGTCAGCATCCCAACATCTCGGCCCACGACCTATCAGCTCTTGCGTACTCCCACCTTTTAAAATCCTGGACTATTGATTGGCAATCTTCTAAAGTAAAAACTGGCAGGCACTATGCTAATATTCAGTATTCAATCCCTTCTTCGCCGTGGTTTTTTAAATATAAGTTTTTAAACAAAAAGGTCACGTCTATAATCTGCCGTCTTCGTATAGGGCACGCTTGTACTCCCGTTCATCTAGCCAAAATTAAAATTAAAGACAGTTCTGTCTGTGAGTGTGGTATGGACGAGGGCTCGACAGACCACATATTTTTTAACTGTTCTTTAATTAATGACTCGTTATTTGACCATCTTTCTTCAGATTTCCCTCGTCCATGTAACCTTAACTCCCTACTTTCCCTCCCATCCAGCTCGATCGTCAATATTTTAGGGAAATTTATTTCTGTTAATAAATTAAAGTTATAAATAAGATTCTCCCCTCCATACCTTGTAGTAAAATGTTAACCTTTTGTATATATTATTAGATGTCTGTGTGTGTTGTATTTATTGTGATGTCATTTTTGTTTTGGGTAACTCTGCTTAGATAAAATTCAATCTATCAAAATTATCAAATCTATCCTCACTGTGTGAAGACTTAGAACGTGACATTGGCGGAATTGTGATTTACACAGATGTCGCCATTATAAATAAAGTGAAGTGAAGTGAAGTACTATGTGGTGGGTATAATAAAACTTGAAGTGGGATGATTTTATTATGCAGTTTATCGTTTAATGAATACATATACGTACCCCAATATATTTAAAAACAGGCAGTGCACCAAAAGACTGGATGATCTCGAGGAACCCGGAACGCTAGTCGACGGTGTGTGTATGAGATAAAAAAAACGATACTGAAACAGATCTGAGGCAAAGACAATGCCCGCCTTCCACAGTCCACTGCGAGCGGAACGGACCCTTTACGGACTCCGCTATACTCGTAACGATGATTTTCATACATTTTCATTTCCGTGGGAACTCGGTCAACTCGCTAACCTCATATGTGACTCTTTCAACTCGCTCTCTCCGCTGCGCTCGTCTCCGCTTTGGTGGAAGCACATTTTTAATTATGAGACAAAAAGTCCTATTCTTGTACTATATAGGTTATTTACCAAAATATAGTTCATAACTTTATATTATTATGTCATGACTGCTCTTAAAAACTTTAATATTTAATATATATTATATTTCTTGGTTATTCTCTATTTTCCAAACCCCTAAAGAATAAATAAAGGTGAACTTTTTAAAATGAAAATACGGTATATTAAATACTTAGCTTATTTATTCAAGATAAATTAATACCAAATCCAATACTACTTAAAATTAGGATTAAATAAATAAGATTAATCTAGTTTATTTGAAGCCCAATCAACAAATTCTTAAAATATCAGAAGATATGTGAATGGGATTCAAATCAATAGATGGCGTTTACAATTTACAATAATTAAATATGAACTTAAACTAAAATTAAATAATGTGAAGATATTTAACAGTGAAATGGCACCAGTGAGCAAATCTTTTCTTTTCCTATTCTACTTAATTTTCATAAATTTGTGTGAAAAACCTTTTAGAGAAATCAGATGGGTGCTAAAATGTTTTAACGAATTTTAAAGGACCTAGATTAATTTAACTTTTAGTGTGTTCAATTAAAGCTCACTGGTAAATAGGACTAGAGACTTATTCACCGCTATTCATGACTTTTTCTGGTTTTTATCTTCACTTATACTCGTTGCTACTGATATTTCCGTCACTGTCTCTCTGTCCTTCTGATCAAAATATATTGCTACATCATTATCGACATCGTCCACCTTATCCAAACTAACGCCCGGTGGTGGTGGTACGACTATTTCATGACGGATGGAGTTATCTGTTCGTAAATCGCACTCTGTGTGATCACTTTTAGTTTGTACTTTATTCGAGCTTTGTGTATCAAGATCCTGATTTTTTGTTCGGTCTATCGGTTCGTATCCGGCGGGAAGAACTAAACCGTCTTGGTTGATATTCGGTTGGTAATTCTGGATTTGAAATTGTTTCTGATTGACTTGCTGATTTGGTCTTTGCGGTTGTTCTATTGCTTGAAGGATACTCTGAAGAAGACCTTCGGAAAGTAACTGCTCGTGAGGAATTGTTGGTTTGCCTTTTCCCTGTGACGACTGGATTTGTACTGAGAATGATGGAGAGTTGCTATCAATGGGTATATTAAATGTGTCGTGGTTCAAACTCTGGCTTGATGTAACTATTTTCTGTTGTAATTGCTTTGTTTCTTCACTTAAGTTCTTAATTTTCTCAGACGTTTGATAGATTTGATCAGAAACTGATTGTATGGAGTTTTGTTTAAAGAGTTGTTTCTCGTCTAAAGACTTTCCCTTTTGAATTGTCGATCTTACAGTTTTTTCACTGTCTATGTGGTTACTGGGTAAAATTGTTTGCACGAGTGAATGGGATGCTGTGGACAAGTCTTTACTGTTGTAGGAAACTGATTCAGCACCAGGCGCCGGAGTGTTAAATGCGTTTTGTGGCGATAGAAGCACTTGTTTATTTTTTAATAATGAAGCACCAAGCGAGCTTAAGCTAGCTACGTATTTCGACGCTAAGTCAGCTGGAATCTTTTCCCCTGATTGAGCAGCTTTTAATATGGCTTCATGATATGGACAGTGCTTCAAAATCGCGGCTGCTTCTAAATTGCTCAAGTTTGCTAGTATAGTACCATCAAGACTTGCTGTTACAGAATTTGTACTGGAACCAGAGGCTGTATGATCACCTACAGTATGTAGTGGTACGGAATATGAATCTATGGGGGATCCATATAAGTTGCTCGGCTGTACTTGGAAGTTCACAGGGTTACCAGCATGAGGAAGGCTGTAGAGGTTCGTCGGCTCTATTGATAAAGCTAGATTATTGACTCCGAAATTCCCAGTCTGCTGATTAATATCTTTGACTTCTCTTACTGGTGGAGGTAAGTACGCCGGTCCCACCTTTAAATGATCGATGCTGTGATGATCTTTATGTTGCGATATTTGTCCTATTTGCTGAATCAGACCTTCTGGTACCGACTCTCTAAATTTAATGGGATGTCTGGGGCCATTTCCTCCTGTGTGTAATGAATGACCGCCACCAGAGACTGAACCGTATGGAATTGGTAGATTAGAGGGTGGTGGACGCGGTGGGACTCCATATTGGCTACCTGGTGGTACACCATATACACCAGATGGTGGAATTAAGCCTTTAGCTCCTTGCTGACGTATGGACACGGGGAAAGATTGCGGTTCTGGTGGGCCGTAAGCGTCTATTGGTTTAAGGTTCTGTAGATTTTGAATAAAAGTGATATCTTGTGGATTTTTCTCGATGTAATGAGCTTCAAATACGGTTTTAGATTGGTCAATGTGATTTGAATCCCCTCCCACTATTGCGTTTAAGTCAATATTTGATAGGGCGTCTTGATGCACGGTAGAGTACCCTGATGATATCTGAGCTCCAGAGAATTGCGGCACTGATTGGATACTAGGGAGGGACTGAACTTCTAAAGACTGAATAACTGGTGGGGGTGGTGGCGGAGGTCCATACTGGTCTAGTTCGATATGACTTTGGATATTTACGGAATGATCTAAGTTTTCAATTAATGGCTTTGATACTCCAGGGATTGGTCTCCATCCATCATACAAGACATGAGGGGGTGTTGGCGGCGCTGGAACACCCGGATGTGGAGGTCTAGGATTGGGATCCGGTTGTGGAGGGCCATAATGACCGATGCTTCCAAAGTCCTGTACCACGAGTTGGTCGTTCTGTCCGATCGATCCTAAAGGTAGACCGGGAGGGCCGTAGGAATCTGAAGGTACGGGGAAGTTGGGTTTCAAGTTTACGGGGAGATTAGGGAAGGGAGTTCCATATATCGGCGCCGGTAGGTCGACTGAACCAAAGTTTGTCCCAATACTGGTCTCAACTGTACTGAACGTTGAACCAACGTTTGCGCCAATACCAATAGTACCAAAGTTTTGGGGCAAAGGAAATTGTACGTTTTGGACATCGAGTGGGGTTCCGTATGTAACTTTCGGGGGACCGTACACGGGTTTAGGAGGACCATAAATAGGCTTAGGGGCGCCATACACTGGTTTGGGGTAAGAGATTTTTGGTGGTTTAAATGGTGTCCCATAGTTTATCTTTGGGAGGCTATATTTCGGGGGACCATAACTCTTCTTTGGAGGGCCGTAAACTGGTTTCGGTGGTCCATAGCTGATCTTTGGTGGATGGAATTTTGGTGGGCCATAAATGGGTTTTGGTTTGATCGGTGGCGGCGGACCTTCGTAGTTTTGGTTGGGAAATACCACCGGGGCTGGAGGGCCGTATGCACCCGGGGGTGGGTCTAAGAATATCGTTTCCGGTACTCCATAGACCGGGGCTGGTAGAGGCGAGTCTGGAACTGAAAAATTATTAAGCTTAAAAAATCACATAATGTAAGTGACTCTAAGGTGATGTTAGTTATTTCGACTATGTATTTGCGTGTTGTTCCCACAAAAATGTAAGTGCGTGCTCCTATTTCACCATGCCTCCTGCTGATAGAGGACAACTCTTTGTTTTTTATTTATTTTATTATTACGTTTAACTAACTATCGATTATTAAGTGTCATTATGTTAAATTTTTCATGGTTTTATTATTCTTCTTTTAAACATTCGTAAAAAGATTTCGAAATCGAGTTTTTAACAGATGTGGACGGAGAGTTTATACAAGCTATTTCTTTCTTTCTGCAAAAATTTTCATAACTGGCAGAAATAAAATGTAGATAAATAAGAATGATATTAATGTACTATTTATTTTTAAGATTTTTTGGAAGTGGTGTAACCCCTTACAATGTTCAAGAACTTGGCCATTGACAAAGTGGCTGAAATTGCTAGTTCTTACATTCCGTCACATATTGGTTTAGAATCAGTAATGAATATGCATTACGGTATATATTACTTTTAAGGCCCTGTTCAAGCCAGAATCGATCTAGTTCAAATAAAATTTTCAATATTGGAAAAATTTACAAGCAACTGTCACTCGCACCATGTTACAACGCACATAGTAGGTATAGTAATCAAATTTTGAATAAATTAAAAAAAGAAGTTAAATTATGATTATTTTAAGACATTTAATGCTTACTGCTATTAATATCCCTCGGAGGTCCATATGCATCGGGAGGTAGAGGTTCACCATAGGAGTTTGAAAGTCCTTCTCTATTTTGCGCTTGGGGGCCTGAAAAACAAAGAGAAGTTGCAGGGAATTTTCACCTTAATCTTTACCCTTGTCTCAGCTATGTACATATTATATTGCTTTTTAACTATGATTGTCTAACTGGGAATGGAACGTAGAACTTCAGCTTCTGCTGTTGTGAGATGTGTTATCGTAATTAAAAAATATATCTTCATATTGTTTGTGCTATACTATATTGCAGATGCTAAATTGTCTCACTTTTTTGGGAAGCTTCAGCTACGAGATCCTGTTCATCTTTAGAAACCTCTGGCGTGTCTTCCGCAGCCACTGCCACCAGCCACAGCACCACCAACTATAAACAAATAAACTCAAAAACTCAAACTCAAAATATCTTTATTCATGTAGGAGCAGTAAACACTTTTGACATTGTTAGAAAGAAAAGTTAAATTAGTTGAAATTTACATTTACTACTACTAAATAATTGATGTACAACTCTATTGAAATAAAGAATTTTTTTTCAATCCAGCCCCCTAAAAAAACAGGAAAAAGAAACTTCGTTCCAATAACAATAAAACATATCATTTTTTTAGACAAGATGAAGAATATTATCATTTAAGTTGTAAAAATCCAGTTCATTCTTATTTGTTTTGCCTCAAAACTAAACTGTTTCTTTGAATTTTTTTAAACATATTTCTAAAAAAATCCATCTTTGGATATTTTAATTATTTATTTAATAACAAATAAGCTACAGTTACAGATAACTCAAATGCGGTAACAATACATACACATAGAAACAACACAAATTAAACAGTAGTAAGTAATTTTTACAAAAAATACTATTTCTTACAGTATAGGAACTGATCACGCAAACCTATTATCAGTTTACTCAACGGACCATTCAAATTGTCTGTCAATATATGCAGTTCGTTAATTTCATTGTCATGTGTACCCTTTTCGAGTGGTTAGTTTTCGCTAAGTAAACTAATAGTAACGGTGGTACCTCCTAACGTTACCATTAGGCACGATGAGGCCTTCGCACTGGAGCACTTCCGGATTGTTTTTCATTCAACGTAACAACTTTATCAGGTACTACCTACATAATAAGCGCAAATTCTCGGCGCACTATAGGCTGCTATAGAACCTATTATTAATAAAGGATACCTAAGCGTGGTCAAAAAAAAAGACGCGGTACAAGTATTTAGTACACTTTGTTTTCTAACATTTAATCCCAGTTTTAGTGTGTGTGTCTGACATTCTAACGATGTCACTCTCATCACTTCCGAGTGAACTAATTAATTAGTGCTGCGATAAAAATTATCGATAAATATATTCGATATAGCCATTAATATTACTGATAAAAATTTATAATTATGATTAAATATAAGACAGGCTTTTCGAGGCTTCTTTTTGGAAACTGATTGGTTTAAATACAAATTTTTATAAAAAAATTAATTAAATAAATTTTAATTTAAAACGAACTGTTAATCGACACAGGTTGCTAGATTAATAATATATAAGATTTTTTAGTACATTGTACCTCAGTAGGTATATATTTGAATTTAAAGAAATGTTAATCATAAATTTCAATACATAGTTTCTGTTACAATTCACCTAATATTCGCGCAAAATTCACCTAATAGTCGCGCAAATTCTTTTAAAATATCAATTTTTAAATTAAATTAATCACTAAAGTAATACGTAAGTATTTTTCCAATTAGTAATTATTTATTTATTTCGTAATCCTACAGCTAACATAAATTATATGTAGCAAAAAAGAATTAAATATAAGAATATATACAAAAAGGTTCAAACATTTACAAAATAAAGTATCAATAAAAATTATTCAATACCTAACCTAATTCGGCTGTGTTGTATAATGGTGTGAAAGTGAGGGTATATACGTGAGGGTGTGTATGTGGGGTGTGCTCATGATGCAGGTGATTTACCGCTATTGATATTCTTGATACTCCTGTTAAGCATATTCCGCGAGTCCAGGCTTAAGTGGTCGTTGTATGGCGCGACACAAAACTGAGTTTTTCAGTCAGGTAATTAATTTTTTTGATTAACCATTCGGATTAACGATGTCGTTAAAGCACATCACTAAACTTCCCAGGTTATTAAGATTCATTGTTTCATTCGCAGGTCAGCCGTAACAATTACCATACGTTCACATAGTTTTTATATCAATGGGAACTGAAGTAGGAAGTGTGCCGGGTTTTTTCGTTCATTCTACTTCGGGTCACTCATTGTATGCAGAGTGGAGGAAAGCGGCTTTTTTACACATAAAACCTTTTTGCTGCTTTTTGTTATGATACTCTGTGCAGGCGGAAGTTTTAACCCTGACATTACAGAACTGGAGTTTTCTATCTGTGTAGCAATTTTAGCTAATATATAATTATTTTGATTTACTTATTTAGTTTCTTTTTCAGAAAATGAGGCATATTGTGTCAATTATTCAACTTCTTTCTCTTCTTTTGCTTTAGCAATAACCATGAATATGACAGAGTCTAAGGCCAAAACCAAGAGTTGTAATCACTGCTTTTTTCTGCAGTCCTGAAGATCAAATTATCCGTTGCTTTAAATTATTTTTAAAAATAAATCATTATTATTATTGTTAAATATAAATCAGTGGCGCTACAACCTCTTTAGGTCTTGGCCTCAGATTTCTGAATCTGTTTCATGATAATTTTTAAATCTAATAGGCAAGTAGGTGATAGCTTCCAGTGCCTGACACACGCCGTCGACTTTTTGGGTCTAAGACATGTTGGTTTCCTCGCGATGTTTTCCTTCACCGTACGAAGGAGTGTTAAATGCACACAGACCGAAAGACCATTAGTTCACCAGGGTACCTACGACCTTAGGGAAGAGAGTCTAGTCACTAGGCCAACATTTCTTCTTGAACTCATAGTCATTTATTCACACGCATTTATTCATCTTACATGTAACTAATCCAGTAGGGTTAATCTGTAAACTGTATGTTTCATCAGCCTTGATGGCTGGAAGTCTCCCACAGTCCGCTTCACAAGACGCTTCGCTTTTTGCGAACTAGCGAGCTGTGGAATCGATTCCCGGTGGGTCTTCCCTGAGAGATACGTCGTCCAATTGTTCAAAGTATACTCCTCCCTCAAAGGCCGGCAACGCACCCACTAAAAAGGGTCCATGGGCTGCGAAGACTGCGCATTTTGGGGGTATGGGACCCCCAAAATGGGGCACGTTTGCTATACTATAAAAAAAACAAACAAATAGTGAAAAGTACATACCGCCCGCCACTTCATAAACTGAAACAAAAAACATATTATTAATATAAATACCTTTAAAAAAATCAATTAGTTAAATTATGTTTTACAGTAATGAAAAAATAAAGGCTACATTTGGTTATAAATTACTGAAAAAATAACCAACTTAAAATTAAGGGCAAATAATATAATCTAAACATACAATGGTTTGAAGCTTTGAAATTAAAATGGCAATGAGCTGGTCATATACCTGGACAACAGATAGACATTAGGAGACGAGAAGAGTGGGCCATAAAGGCGGTGGGCTGATGACTTAATAGAAATTTCACCTTTAAAGGGTTGGAGGAAAATTTTCCAAGAGGAGTCCCTAACCACAGGCGACTAACATTTAACTTTAAGTACTAACAACATTTGAAATGGAAATTAAGGATATGGAAATACAATAAGGCTTTATTATTATTATATAATGGTTTGTTGTCAAACTTTATATAATATCACTGCATATAGATGAATAAATCATGGATACCGGCGGAAATTTAGATTTTTCTTTAGACATTACAGTTAATATTTAAACCTCCCAAACAAAACCGTTTCGATAGGATTTTAATTCGATAAAAGAGCTATTATTTGCACAGCAAATTTGACTTTGGAAATGTAAAATTTAAATATATAACATACACAAAAACACGTGGAACTTTGAAGTTCCTATAAAATCTACCATTTTTTTCCAAGAGATCTTTCTCACTTATGTACAGTTTTTCTCGAATTTATTTCCTATTTTTATAGTAACATAATACTAATACAAAGGAGAACTTATTAATATAAAATTAAACTAAAAACATAATATAAACAAAACAAGAAAACTTTTTTTTAACTAAATATTAATAATGCAATTGTTGTGAATTTAGCCAGTGCAACTAAATATATCCGTCTCACATGCAATAATATTTACGGTGCGTAAGATACACGTAAATGGCGCTGCTCTGAGTATATTATTGCTTCCCATATATTAATTTACGTTCACCCATAGCATATCCAAAATCATAAACCAATGACGCAATATACACTATGACGTAACAAAGCTCGTCCGATCACATTCTTACAGTGAAAGTAGCAGGTGCTTGGAAAGTTCAACGGAAGCTCATTGACATTTAACCGGATATGACATATACAGAAGTATGTTATAACGAACGACGACATTCATAAAAGAGGGACAAACGGGGCTGTAGTTTTTGATTTTGATTGACTCGATCCCTTAAGATGTCACTCTGCATCTTCTACCGCATTTACCACAGAGAGTTCAGAGGTGTTGTTCGGATTAATAATTGCAGCTGAGTTTGACTTTTGGACGTCGAGGCAGAATACGAAATTCCATTCCAGAACTGAGCGTTTTTAAGGCAGGTTCTAGCGAACCACCACTATGTGGAACCACCCACTGAAGTATTTCCGAAGCAATTTGACTTAGGAAAAAGAGCGTACCAATTCCTAAAGGGCCGTCAGCGCACTCGCGATCCTTCTGGCATTGAGAGTGTCCATGGGTATCACTCAATATCAGGTGAGCCTACTGCCTTTGTTCTAAAAAAATGTTTTTGCGTCATTCTGCCAAAATCGCACATGCGTTACCGACCTATTAAAAACTTAGTGTTTCTTGAAGATTGTTAATACACGGGACGGAAAACTTAGCCAACCCGTTTCATGGTGACGCTTGCGTTTATCAAACCTGTTCGATCTGTTTCGGCCACTTGCCTGATTAAACTTCATAGAAAAACTATCGCTTACCAAGACCTTGACTTCTAAACCCTATATAATATGTATGATGCTGAAACGCACTTGAATATCGAGTATTAAACAATGTAACGAAGTTGATTTTATAACTGTAGAAGTTATAAAGTAGGTAACCCAAGTAAACCAAAGACGATGATTTTGGTACGAAATTACGGGTGTTCTAAGGAACGGAAATATTTACTGAATTTTAATTACCCGGGGGGGGGGGGGAAGGGGGGGGGGGGGGGGGGGGGGGGGGGGGGGGGGGAAGGGGGGGGGGGGGGGGAGAAAGAAAAAAGGAATAGAAAAAAATTTAAAATTTTAACATAAGGTTTGTTTTGTTGGTTGGGGCGGGGGGGGGGGGGGGGTGGGTTGGGGGGGGGGGGGGGGGGTTTTTTTTTTTTTTTTTTTTGGGGGGGGGGGGGGGGGGGGGGGGGGGGGGGGGGGGGGGGGGGGGGGGGGGGGGGGGGGGGGGGGGGGGGGGGGGGGGGCCTAGAAAATTGTGGTCCACATAATACTTTATTTTTAACAAAACACAACATTATATTCAAAGAACACAGAAAATATTTGAATTCTATCATAAAAGGTACAGCCAATGTTTCGAACAACGTACAAAAATACAAATTTTCCTCTTTATAATACTTTAAGTAAATATCTTATTTTAAGTGTTGTCTGTGGAAGTTACTTATTGAAATTGTCGTAAGGCTAAGTACCAGTAATTAAGTCCTACTTACTACGTTCTGTGTCAATGGGAACTTTCTTTTATCTTGTTTCTAGACTAAGGTACTATTTATGTACTAAATGATGATTTGTACTAGTAAAATTGTAAATATTGTCGCATTAATTCCGAAAATGGAAAATCACTATTTTGTCAAAATATTTAAGATTTCATTTTATTATGTCTCATCCGCGATTATAACAAATCACTTCACCAAAAATAAATGTTAATATTGTCTTTAGTTAAAGTGCACTACACATTTATATATAATTTAAAGACTCTTTCTAGCCACGTGCCGAAAAACCTTCAAAATCTTGAGAATTAGTTTTCGTAATAAATTCGCGTTTACACCTCTCAAGTTAAATTTAAATTGATAACTTTCTTGTGTTTTTGTTAGGTGTGTTAACTGCGATACACTTATTTCTCCTTTGTAAGTATACATTTTTAATAGTTCACAGCATTTTGAAAAAGAGTTTAAATTTTTAAGATTTATCAAAAACTACAAACGTATCCTAGGATTGAATGTAATAAAAATATCAATGTAATGTAAACGGTTTATACTTGACGCTGGCTAATGCACAAACCGTGCCAGAGCTATAAAAAAAAAGGGTGCGTGTACTTATGTACGCGCGTAAGAAGTTATACTTCTTTGGCATTATTAAAAATATTTTTGATTGCATGCAAATAATTAATTACAATTAAATAATCAAAGACTGGAAAAGGATCATTATAGTCAATTAATTAGTTTACATTTTAAAATTAAATAAATAATTATTTATTATTATTCTTTACATTAAGTTAAATAAATTCTATTTATTAAAGTATATATATATATTTAGAACATCTCTACCAACACTAAGAAGTATTTGTACTTTGCATATTGAAATATAAAATTAATAAATTTCTTTGAAAAATTAATCAAAACTCCTTTATTTGTTTAAAAGGTAAATGACAAATGTCATTATGTCATTCAAAATTTTGGCATACGAACTTCTACGCATGGTCTATTTCTTTTTACTTGTAATTAATGTTTTATTTCTCTCGCCCGCGCACCGCTATATTACACTCCCAGTTTTGTGTCACAGGTTTAACTTTACTAACAATATATGGACTTTTTAATTGTCTGAATTAAATGATTTTTATTTATTTAATGCACAAACCGTGCCAGAGCCATAAATGAAAAAAACGGAAAAATGGCGCCAAAGCTGTCGCAGCCATAGATGCAAAATGTCATTGATTATAGAAATGGCACGGCGCAAAAAATTATAACGAAAAACTCCTTGGTTAAATTTTGTGGTTTGATTAACATTGACATTTTTTTAAAGTAATTCATTTTCAGTCACGTTGTTTGTAGTAAATGGTTAGTGGACTCAGTTTCCGCACTTAGACTCTTGTGCGTATATTCCGAATTTATTTTTGGTAATAAGAATAGGTTGCGAGTATGTCCAGGTACATTTTCCATCTCTTAAACATCATACTTATTTGAGTAATGCGATTGAAACAGTAGGGCAAATAAATAATTAATTTTCTCCATATAGCGTAATCTCGATCGGAGATTATTGTTATAAAATAGCCATAACACTTACATTAGCAGAACGTTCATACATATAGGCCCTTTTAAAATTGAT